ATGTCCCGATTCATACTGTATTGTGCTAAATTGTTCGTTGGCTAGAACAAACTAACGTCGATTGATATATATACTTAAGCATACTCATAAACACAGGCCATAGATATATATAATACCATACATAAGCAACAAACAACTTGGAGTGAATTTGTTTTCTGGAGAGTTCAAGCAAACAATTTTACATGTGCACCACCGGGACCGAGGGTGGCACGATGCATATAAACGGAGGTTTAATTATAAGGAAAAATATGGAGTATAAACCACGTATATTGCAAACCTAAAAACTATCATCACGAGTAAAACTTTTACTTCCAGTGTACCTATGCCATCTTATAGCTATGGACATAATAAACTACCATGATTGTTTAAATGCCTAATTGTTTCAAAGAATGAAGATAAAATAGGGTAGGTATTGCAGGCTTCGCATTGAAGATTATGCACAAGCTGCGTGAACACACGGTGCAAACCAACTAACACACACATACACACACATATCTCACTAAAAATTGTAGAAAAATTATTGTTTGTACTTTTAGACTCTCAAAATTTATACATTTATACTCCTTAGACTGTCAAAATTTTTATCCTTTTTATTATACGGCTATAAATTTAAAGTAATACTTTACACGTATGTGTGTAATACTAAATGCCTAATGCATGTTAGCTAAAAGAAAGTTACAAAGAGTGATTGTTTCGAGTATATAAATTCCTTGAATTATAAATTTTAGAGTAAAAATTTTTAAATCATGACGGCAATCATGAAAAGTCCACACTACAATAATAATTATGCTTGCAGATTTATTTTTATCTATAAAATTATATTCGTAGTCTATTTGAAGTCCCACGCACTCTACATGAAACAATGAACTGTTTCCCACAATCCAAAATCAATTTGACTCGACTAGACTTTTTTCATTTGGAATACTTATTGTGTCACATGCACCAAGGCATGCATTAATAAACAATGAGAAAATGCAGCATATAGAGAAATATTAGCAGATACATCTCAGCTACGCGATACAATAATAAGTTCTAAAATATCTAGCCAATTAGACTACATAACAAAAAGAACTATCAACTTAATCTTGATAATCTTCCTTTTCACATGCCTGATAAGGTTTCTGATCTTTGGGATGAGAATAAGAATTGGGATGCTCAGAAAATAACTCAAATTTTTGATAGTGCAGCTCAACATTCAATTATGCAGGTTCAGATTATGCAGGGAGAGGAGGAAGATAGGCTTTGCTGGAAGTACACACCCTCAGGAGTCTGTTCAGCCAAGAGTGCTTACAAGACAATTTACAATGAAATGTACCCCAATCAAAATCAGGTCAGTAATTTAACAAAAAATCTTTTGAAATTAATCTGGAAACACAGGTACATGCCTCCCAGAGTCAAAACTTTTGGATGGAGGCTGCTGAGTAATGCTCTCCCAACTGCTCAAAGAATGCACCACAGGATCAAAACCGTTAGTCCCAATTGTCAGACCTGTGGTCAAAGGGAGGATGACTTGCATCTCTTCTTTCTCTGTAATTTCAGTCGTTTATGTTGGTTCGTCTCTGACTTTAATCTCAAAGCTGATAATCTTTCTTCTCTAGGCTCTGTTCAAGATATTATTGCCTATCTTTCAGCTAATGGCATCAATATATACAATCTTTTAATTATGCTTTGGCAGGTTTGGAAAGCAAGGAATGATATCAACTTCAAAACAAAGATTTGGGAGCCACAACAAGTGTGCAATGCTGCGCAGGCAATGGCAAAGACATATGAAAGTGTTCATCAAATGGAAGAAGACAGTTGCCAAGACTTCAATCGGGCTGAGGAGAATAATATAAGAAATTCTGTTGTTAAAATTCCTGCAGGAACAAGAGTTTATGTGGATGCCTCTTGGAAGGAAGAGAAAACAGGAGTAGGGATCTTCATCCACAACCCTAGCAATCACAATGCTATTGTCATCAAAGCTCAAAGTCTCAATGCAGGAACTCCTTTGCTAGCAGAAGCTGAAGGATTATTTTTAGCTATGCAAATTGCTCGTCATCTTCAGCTGCAAGACCCTATTTTTCTCTCAGATAACAGTGAGATAGTGAATGCTGTGCAGAACGAGGACTACATACAAAACCCCGGACATTGGTCTCTGAGACCAATTATTTCAAGAATTAAAAATTTTCTGCAGGATCAACAAGTTCGAATCATTTGGATCTCTAGAGAGCTCAACAAAGTTGCAGATGGCCTTGCAAAGTCAGCAAGACAAGCTCAGACTAACAGCTGCTTAGCTTTTGATTGCTCTAATATTTCTCACATTTGTTCCAGAGATGTTTGTCCTACTAAAAGAGCTCTTTCCTTCACTCCTAATGGAGCAGTTAATGTAACTCATGCTTTGTGTTTCTAAAACGCTTTCTTTTAATAAAGTGCATGAGTTCTCAAAAAAAAAAAACTATCAACTTCTATCGGTTGTTGGCAAACAATAATATAGGCACAAGTACCATTATTTTCACATAGGGATTTCCAACCTTTTAATTGTATAAATAATTATTTTCATCACACTACTACACAAATGGTTCTTGCGAGCATTCTTTTCACATGTGACTCAAATGTGCAGCCTCCTATATGCCAAGCATCTTGCCTCAAACTCAAGGTTCATCTTTGAAAATAACTTTTGCAATCCTTTTACACATAACTATTTTATGGGGTGCTTAACCAGCAATTAGCATTGAAGCTTTTACACATAAAACTATTTTAATGGAGCACTTAACCCATAAGATAGTATTGAATCAATATACTCCTTTCGTTATAGTAAAACATAGCTCATTTTACAACATAATGATATTTTATTCTTTCAATTTTTTTATATTTGTCTTCATACAAGTCATATTAAGCAATCCAAGAGACAAAGGTCAATAATAAATCAACAAAATTCAGTAAATTCCTATCCTTCAAAGTAGCTCCATGGGTTTCTCCACAACCTTCATGTATAAGCCTCTAATGCGGTTTCAAAATCAGTAGTTTTTCTTATAATAATATGATTAAAATCTATACTTTTTCCTAATAAATTATTATTTTAAGATTCATATTGACTAGGTCTTTTCTTTAAAATACCATAGAGTCTCACATATTACAGAGAAGCCTTAAATAAGATATGCATATTTGATCAATTAAAAAGAGGGCTAAGCACGTTGGTAAAAAAAAATTACTAGCAATAAAAGTTTCTTGAGACTTTTTGTGGAAAAAATAAACAATGAGAATTGAATTAAAAAGGAAAAATTCCTTACTTTAATTTCAACTTATTTTGTTAAAACTATTTCCGAAACAAAATAATATGCAAGCCTACGTGACTGCGCGGGTTATGTTCCTAGTTATTCTAGAAATATTCAAACATTTGGGCAACTCGTATTCTATCTTGGTGCAATGTACTGGCAGTAGGTCATAGGTCTTGATCAGTGGTCTAATCTCATCTCAATAAGTACATTGGTGGCCTAATCACAAGAATGTTATTGTACTCAGACGGGAAATCGGCGGCGCGAAGAATAGTTATAAGTAACTTACTTGAATGTCAGACTCTTTAAGTTTTAAGTTAGCAGTAGGTGCTAATTAGTACTAACTGCTAAATAATCGATGCTTGTGCCATAGAACATCAAACCTATTTAATTATTAACTGAAAGGACAGGTTTGAACTGATTATATCGATAGGTTGGAGTATTAAACTAGTCGTAACTCGTAATATAGTCCATTGGGAGCATTGACGTTGAATTTATTTAGCCAACGTGTTAAGGCAGGTTAGTAGATGGTATGTGGTCCGCACATTTTGTTCAGTTTGATTCGACGAATACAAAATGTTGAATGAACATCTCAACAAAATCATCAGTTCCTATATATAATTGATTTTCTTAAGATGGTGAATCTTTATTTCGAGATTTAATACTGTTCTGATGTAGAGCTAGCCATTTCTATTATTTCCAATAAAATATCACGGATCAATAGCCGGTAACGTTGAAGAATATTTGTGGTGCCTTTTCTACTCTTCTATCTCCATTCATTCCCTTTTCACAATATATTTTTTATTGAACGCGTAAAAGGATTGCACGTCAATATATTAGAAGAATAGAGTTTTTGTTACACGACGCAATCGGTTAGACCGACTTATGCCAAGAAAGGGAGAAAACAAAAAGACCAAATAAAAAGGAGAAGAGAAGACTACTGCGACGGCTAAACACAACTTTAAATAGCGGGAAGGGGTTAGAGCCACTACCCTCCCAAGAGAACCCCAAAATTAGCAATGTCAGCTAAAGATCATAGATGACCCTTAGAGAGGATGGACTCAAGGACCTCTGAGACCGAGGACAACGCAGAGTCAAAAACTTTGGAGTTCCGCTCCTTCCACGGTTGCCAAGAGACCAGGAGGACCATAAAATCAAAACCGGCACGAATATACCTTTTTAAAGAGAAATTTACTATTTTACCACGTGCATATACATTATCATACACATACGTACACATCCATGACCATGAGTAGGTCATTTTTAACACACGCTCAAGAGACATCAGACACAGGCCGGATAAGTCATATTGCTGAAAGGTTGCGACCCGTTTATATCAACAATTTTCTACACCAACACGATCCGAATGTCATTTTCCGATTTCTTAGTTTATTATGGCCTTTTTGACATTCAGGAAAGCATCGTCCCTTTCCTACTCCTAGCTCATTCGTAGAAGCATAGAACCCATCCAGAAAATGCAGCTATCTTACGTCGTTCTTATCAGAACACGGGAACAAGCCAAACATACTGCATCCATATACGCTCATGACATTCAACATCATACATATGTTTCCATCTTTAGTGTATTGTTTGACTCGTTAAAAATCGACGGCCTATAGGGACAGCAGAGCAGCTTTCTAGCCGTGTAATTCCAATTATTTCCACGCCACTCGCTTGGGCCGATTTTTCAATGTGGGCCATCTAAAAAAACATAAAAACAGTAAACAGGAGTTGAAATGAACTGACCCGAAGGCTTCGTGCCCAAAAATCCTCGGGAAAACGCCGGGGAAATCCTGCAATGTGGCAGCAAAGGTTCTCGTGTCACAAGTTTTCAGAGCAAAAGGCTCACACGTTTTCAGAGCAAAAGGCTGTGGCCTGCTTTAGTTCCCTAAATTTATTTTACAAAAACATCACATCGAATCTTTAACACATGCATAGAGAATTAAATATAAATTAAAAAAATAATTTCACAATTATGGAGGAAATCGTGAGACGAATCTTTTAAGCATAATTAGTCCATGATTGAACATAAGTGCTACAGTAACTCGCATGTGCTAATGATGGATTAATTAGGCTTAAAAGATTCGTCTCGCGGTTTCTAGGCGAGTTATGAAATTAGTTTTTATATTCGTGTCCGTAAACGTCTTTCAATATCCGGACAAACATCTGATCCGATGTGACGCCCAAAAAAATTATTTTCGCGAACTAAGATAGTCCTGTATAACGGTTATAAATCTCCACAAAAATACCGTACTACACATGGGGTCCACACACGGGACGTTCTGGGCCGTCCGATCGGTCGTCGACAGATCAGCGGCAGGGGATCGGACTGACCTGCATACGCCAGAACGTGACGTCGCTGTGGCAGAGCGAGGTGCAGACGATCTTGATCCGGACCTCGTGCGCCTTGGGCGGGTCCACGACGATCTCCTCGACGGCCAGCGGCTCGCCAGCGGCCCTGCACACGGCCGCTGCTCGTCATCGCGGCGGCGGCGGCGGCGGCGGCAACGAAGCACGGTCAGGGCATCCATGGTGGTGGAATCAAACCGGAAGCAAAGAGACGAGGAAAAACGGGCTTTGGTTTTCGAGGAGAAGATGAAGAATTTTAGCCGGATTCTTCTTACCTTTGCAACGGATGGGTTGGGGGATCTGACCCGCCATGGACGCGAGAGAGAGGAGATAGTAAAGAGGTTTCTGTTGGCGCGGCGCTCTACTTGGAAGGGACGATGTAGCTCGGTAGTGAATGTCTGAAATATATAAAGGGAGGGAGTGAGGTTGAAGGCATTTGTGTGCAGGCCGAGAGCTTCTAATCAAATGGTACTTGTATTTTGTTTTATGAGAGCTTTCAGTTTCTTCTACCGTTGACGTGGGCTGATGGATGGTGTAGCTGTCTAGTCTATTATTTTTAAAATAAACAAAACTAGTAGGAGTAGGAGATGTAGCACATATTACTATATATAAACCAGGGGACATGTCACATGCTACTAATACAAATCTGGGATATAACTTATGTTCAGATTCATATCTCATCTTATACTAAATTTATTTATTTTAAGATGGATGAAGTAGGCATGTATATCTCATCTTATACTAAGTTTAGTCAATTTGCCTTGCTACTCTCTTTTATGTTTGTTGACGTAAAGACAAACAAATTCATATGCATATTTGTTGCAGAAATTATGGAAGCGGATGCGAGGCTGTATGCCTGTATTTGGTTCGTATTTCAATGGCAAAATCTAATTCGCGCGTGCTCTCTGTTTTGTCTTATCGCACGACACGCTCATCGGTCGTCTGATCCCAAGCGCTGGTGCGTATGTACATGGCCTCGTGATTCACGGACATGGCATTATCTAGAGGAGCCATGTGATGCTCTACGCTACACCGGCTTCAAAAATGATTTTCTCTTAAATTAATCATCCGATTTACGATCCGATTACACTGGTGTGTTCGTAAGAATTGAATCTTTATAATAAGATCTCACATGATTATATTTTGATGAAAAATTAGAAATTACTTTTATAATATATCTAAATTACTTTTAGATTTCACTAAATTACTTCTTAGACCCATAAAAGTAAATTCAATAAAGCCTAAAAATAATATACATATATTATAGAAGTAACTTAGAAAAAAAAAGTAACTTTATCACGACATTAAAAGTAAATATGTTATGGAGGTAAAAACATGAGTCTATATAGAAATTAAATTTAATCAGCATAAATTACATCATTGACTAAAAATGATTATAAAATAAACAACTCACAACATGAATGTATAGATTTCTTTTAATGCCGTAACAAGTTACTTCACTTTTGTTTTAAGTAACTTCTATAGTATAGGTAAATTACTTTCAAGTTTTATTAAATTACTTTTATGACTAAGAAGTAATTTAATAAAATCTAAAAGTAATTTAGATATATTATAAAAGTAATTTCTATTTTTTTCATAAAAATATAGTCATGTGAGATCTTGTTATAAATATTTAATTGTTATGAACACAATGGTGTAATCGGATCGTAAATCGGATAGATAATCTAAGAGAAAATTTCATAAGAAGAAAAAAATACATGCACTTTTGAGTATACTAGTAGCAACTAGATATGAGATTGAGGTAGCTGGTTATGACCATATAGAGAACGATCTCGTTGTAGACACGTCTTATTTCAATCTATTACGACATCTCTTGCACTCTTTTTTGATCGCCCGGTTACTCGTGTAACCGCCAGCCGCCGCGCCAAAACTGGCTCATAAAGAAACAAGGAAAATAGCATTTGATGTTAAGATTGTGTCTGCACACAAAATTAGAAACAAATTCATCCGACCTGAGATAATCTCTAAAGAAACAAGGAAAATAGCATTTGATGTTAAGGGTGTGTTTAGTTCACGCTAAAATTAGAAGCTTGGTTAAAATTGGAACGATGTGACGGAAAAGTTGGAAGTTTACGTGTGTAGGAAAGTTTTATGTGATGGAAAAGTTGAAAGTTTGAAGAAAAAGTTTGCAACTAAACTCGCCTAAGATGGTGTCTGCGCACAAAATTAGAAACAAATTCATCCGACCTGAGATAATCTCATAGAAGTGGTTTGTGGGCAGGATTTGATATGCGAAAGACAGGTAGGGCTTAGGCTTCAACTTTTCGGCCTATGGCCCTGGAGATCAACTCGATCTTATCAATGGTCCACACGCTTTCACGCCGAAAGGCACAGGACTAAGAGTAATTTTACAGTTATTGAGAAGTTACCATGAGATACCATTTTTTCTATTATAAATTTGGTACATATTGATATTTAGATACTATGATGTAACATGAGGTACTAAATTTTACACTAAATTTTTAATACCTTATGGTACCTCCTTAAGACTGTAGAATTGCTCCAGGACTAAAGACAGCTGAAGAAGAGGAGTTTGAAGGTCCTTAAAAAAGTACCTTAAGGTACCTAAATTTTACACTAAAATTTTTAGTACCTTAAGATAATTAGTAGTTAGTATCTGGAGGTATCAAATTTTACACTAGAAAAATATAGTACCTCACTTCCTTAAAAATGGTAAAATTACCCGCTTAAGAAACAGGAGACCCGGAGAGTGCGACCTCACCGTTCAGTTTCAGAAACAAGATTGGACTGAGATCAAAAAAAAAAGAAGAAACAAGATTGGACTAATCCAGTTCTTTACACGCAAATCTGAACATACTCCATAAGAAAGATAATCCTTTTCTTTTGGAATGAAAATATTCTGCATTGATTCAGAAAGGAGGATGCTGCTAACCGCCCATGAAATTAAGTGTACATCAGTTATTCGTGATGGCTGATGGACGTATTAGTGTATTACTCCTTGTTTCAGCAACACCAGCGAAATAAACAGCATACTTATTGAACACATCAATCAACCAAATTCAGAACCTGAACAGGAAAAGCATCCCCACCCCAAGTTGTGGCCATCACTTGTCCATCCATATGATGCATCTCAGGCTCTTTCCCTGCAGAAGCAAATCGAAGGCTGTGTTTATCTCCGTCAGGCCTACCTCATGAGTGACCAGCTTCTCCAGTTCCAGCTCCTGCATTTGCATTTGCACAACACACACAAAGCACATGCATTACAATTAGGAAGAGTCTAGTTTCGTCTGAAACTGAAACCGCGAACTGAATTTATAAAAACGCAACCTTGTTCATGCATTTCTCGGCGAGGATTGGGATGTCAGTTTTGGGTTTGGCCCCACCGAAGAGCGATCCCATGACGCACTTGCCGAACAGAAACTCGAAGGACGGCAGGCACAACGGCTGGCTGTCCTTCTCGACCCCCAGAATGATCGTCTTGCCCCGTCCCTGCATTAACACACGATTATTAATTCCCGCTGCAAATATTCTCCTCTGAATTATTAACACGCGATTATTAGATCACTGAATGTCTGAATCAGTGTGGTGAGATCAGAACTGATTTGGTGCTTCTGACTGCCTCAGTCATCACCGACGAGATACCGATGCACTCGAAGCTGTAGTCAGCGCCACCGTCTGTCATCGCATTGATCACCTAGGATAGAACAGAATTAACAACGTGCACTGACGAGTTTGGATCCATTAGCAGATGATTTCTGTAGGGTGGTGCCAAATGGCGTGTTTCCTCACCTCACTGACGGATTTGTCGCCGAGTTGGGATGGATTGACGAAATCAGTCACACCGAACTCTTTTCCTGCAAAAAGTAGAGGTTTCTTCAGTTGTGAGAAAATGCAAAGATTCTTCTTCACTGCGTGTTATACACAGGAAAAATAATTTGGACTTGCCAACTTCCTCTTTGTTAGGATTCAAATCAACACCGATAATCTTCGTTGCTCCACACATTTTTGCCCCTTGCACTACCTGGAAAAAAAAGTCAAAATATTTGCAGCGGTCGTCAACTCATCATGTATCCGAGTAAGAAATTACACTGCTTCACCTCTAGCTTACCGCCAATCCGACGGATCCCAGCCCGAAGACAACCACCGACGAACCGGGTTGCACTTTGGCCAACCTCCATGCTGCTCCTACCCCTGATCGACATTCAATGATGCAATGAATGTCAGTGCACAGTTCAGAGGTAAGGCAATCAGGCAAATGGCATTTCAGGCTCAGGCTCCCCCAATTCGTTTGTAGCGTGCTAAAATATGGAACTGTTTGGTAAAACTCAAATCCTAAATTTAGCTTCAGGAGTTGAGTCTGAACTATGAAGTGGAGTTGTAGAATAGTTTAAGAGATTTGCTTCAGTCCAAAAAAAAAATATCTCGAAGTACTGGTACCTCACGGTATCAAATCGTTTTCAATCGTTGGATCTAGCAATGGCCATCATGTCCAACTAGATCAAATGATCGGAAACGATTTAGTACCGTGAGATACTAGTACCTCGAGATACTTTTTACTGACCGGAGCAAATCTCATAGTTTAAACCAAGCTTCGTATATCTAGTTCATTTTGTGAAAGACGTTCCATCCAACTCCGTACCCATTTTAGGTGAAGTTGAAACTGTTTTGATTGATTTGGCTCTACCAAGCAGGTTCAATATATCTGCGAATCTCAGGCTCACCGGTGCCGCCGCAGCAGCCGAGGAGGCAGGCGATTTTGGGCGGCACGGCGGGGTCGACCTTGACGACCTGGTTGACGTCGACGACGGTGTACTGGCTGAAGCTGGTGACGGCCACCGTGTCGCTGAGCGGCTTCCCTTCGCCGTCCCAGAACCTGGTTGTGCCGTCGCGCCGCATCCCGGGGCCCATGGTGAACGGCACGGCGGTGCACTGGTTCGTCCACTCCGCCGCGCAGCTGGCGCACGAGTCGCACTGCCCCATGAACGTCGGCACCACCGTGTCCCCCGCCGCGAGCCCCTCCACGTTCTCCCCCACGCTCTCCACCACCCTTAAAAAAAACAAACAGATATAGTTAGAGATTCTCGAATTCGAATTTTCGGATTGGCGAAGAGGAAAATTAAAGCATCAGGGAAGAACGAACATACCCGTAGGCCTCGTGGCCCAAGATTCTTGGAAAGGCAGGGTCTACCTATTATGAAATTATAAAAGCAAATTATACGTGATTCTTTCACATGGTTTGATCAGATGGGGGAACGTACGTATACCTTGTGCCAGAGGGTGACATCGGTGTGGCACAGGGAGGTGCAGATGATCTTGATGCGGATCTCGTAGGCTTTCGGAGGATCGACGACGATCTCCTCGACGATCAGTGGCTCACTGGCCGCTCTACAGACCGCCGCTGCATCGTCGTCGTCGATATGTATCAATCATATATCATGCGTGAGGAATTGAGTAGTAGTAGTAGTAGTACCAAGGAGCTATGCAGATCTGATCTCTGTAAGTGAATTGTGTACCTTTGCAACGGATGGGCTTCAGGCTCTGATCTTCCATTGCGGCTGGATGGCGAGCTTAAGCAGCACTGCAGCAGTGTATTCTCCAGGGCAATGTTCTGTGGCTATAAATAGATCCCTAACTAACCTACCCCAATCATGATGGAACGAATAATCGATTTCACCCATATGTGGTAGGTTTGATTTCCTATCCTTAGTCAATACATGCGATAGAAAACAAAACATGAATAAAACTCTGTAGTGGAGTCCGCTAGCTTTTGCTTTGCCTGGCCTCCACATGGTGAACTGGTCCTGATTAGGACCTTGTTGTTTTCAAAAAAAAAACTCTCTATTCCGCTTAATGAAACAGTACTCCCTCCGTTTTCTAATATATAACGCTGTTAATTTTTTTATACGTTTAATTATTTGTTTTATTAAAAATACATAAATATTATTTATTTTATTGTAACTTGATTTATTATCAAATGTTTTTCAAGTATGACTTAATTTATTTTATATTTCCACAATAATTTTAAATAAGATAAATGTTTAAATATTGATTAAAAAGTTAATGATGTCATATAGTAAAAAATGGAGGTAGTAGTAGAACTCATGCATCTTCCAAATAAAAGTAGAAATCAAAACACTCCATACAAACCACTACTGTTTAGCAACCTGTTCACTCACGTCGTTTTCTCGGACTTTTATGCTAACCTTTCTTCTTTTTAGGTTGTATTTAGTTCACGTTAAAATTAAAAGTTTGGTTGAAATTAAAACAATGTGATGAAAAAGTTAGAAGTTTATGTGTGTAGAAAAGTTTTGATGTGATGGAAAAGTTGAAAGTTTGAAGAAAAAATTTGTAACTAAACTCAGGCCTTATTTTTGGGAGATATAGTGTAGGTCAGCTAGCCAGGATCTTTGCGGTGGAAGTTGTCCACACCCGTGTTCAAATGCTATATCTGACATATGGATGATCGCATTTTCTTGTTCCACTTTTCTAAAATTTGGTAGTACATACACATATAGATGCATTCAACCTCCATGTCTCTCTATTCTTTTCTTATATGTACGGCCAAAGTGATGATCGCCTTGTGTGTTCCAGTTTTCTAGAATTTGGTAGTACATGCACGTATAGATGCATTCAACCTCCATCTATCCTGTTCATATAATACCGCCAAACTACAGGTATATACACATGTGGATATTTTCAACCTCCATCTCTATCCTTGCCCCACCCCTATAATGCCATTGGCAATATACGACTACATGCACATGTTGATGCTGATCTCAACCTATGTTTCTAACCTGTCCTTACCCTGGCGGATTTGGTTTTGGCATACCCTAGTAAATCATGGTAGTAAGGTAAATGCCCAGGTACCCCCTTAATTTTGACATCGGGTAATGTGATCTGATCCTAAATGCTAGTTACTCGTATTATGTAAGCAACGGATTGCTACCACCGAATAAAGCTCCAATGGAAGTTTAGACAAAATTGTTGTCACCCTGATGAATAAAACAACTCATTTTCCCTAACAAAGTAGTGTAAAATAAGAGTAAGTCAATTATTTGATCCACTTCATGAACCTGCAACTCTGAAACACGACTATACCTAAGCAGAGCAAGAGTGAAGCAGCTTCAACCGACCCCGAGCAGATGATATCTTTTTTTTTTCAGAAAATTGCTTATTTGATTCTATTTTAAAGCGTAACTATAAATTAGATCCTATTTTTTTAGGTTTTCTCATTTGATCATGTTTTTCAAAATCGAAAATGGAGGCTGACCTTACTCGCAAAGATAAGATAACGGTGTTAACTAAGGGACTAATTATCTTTTTTACCCTTACTCATTTCACCCGGTTGTATCAAATTTTATTTTTGTTTGGACATTTTAAACATATTTGTAACGAATATGGCATAGCTTGATATATTTTAGACAATTTCAACAATTTGGGCTTAAAATTTGATAAATTTGGCTTAAATTTGACAATTCTTACTTCTATTTCTAAAAAATGGCATAATTATGGCAGACATACAAAATTTTAACATCATTTTCTATGTCTTGTTCATCTCAAATTACATTAAATGAAGCAAAAGCACATTCTCCAGGCATTCTCCAAATCCAATTAACATTCACATCCAACATCAATCACACCAACAGCAGCAGCCGCCACCATAATCACTACATCCTCCAGGCGCAGCAGGCATTAGATGGTGTCGATTTGAATAAGTTGGGTCAAATAAACAAACTAGAAAATATGAGATAAAATTAGTAGTTAGGTCTATAAATATGGTCAAATGAGCAATTTCTCTCTTTTGGACCGACGTTAGGTATATCATGCATTCACGCTACTATCTCATTTGGAGAGTGAGAAAAGAAAACAACCTCACTGGCCGATATAGCCCCTCGGGCTGAAGTAGTTTTTCTTATACCAGGAGTGAATTATATTTGTCAAATTATAGGGATATAATTGTATTTGTCAAATTAGTGGGATATAATTGCCTCTGTTACATACTTACATCAGAGAATTAAGACATATTGTTTGATTTTATAAAATGTGGGCCGGCCGGCCGACCGGGCAGAAGGTTTATTGATCAGTTTTCAGTTTTCAGATCTTTATTATATTTAACTTATCTACTACTACGTACTACTAGCATTTGTGTCTGCTAGTATCATATCAACATCTGCATTATTTGTCATATCTGCAGTGCATTCATGGTCACATCTGCAGCGATAAAGATGGAGTCTGTTTGTACGTATGAATAAGCGAGGTATATCCGTCGATAATGAGGTATTCGTGATGGCTACATTAATTACAAAATATGTTGGTCTAACTTTTCAGAAATACTCGTAAAGATAAGAGCATGTAATCATTCATATGACTGAGAATATGTATGATATATATATATATATATATATATATATATATATATATATATATATATATATATATATATATATATATATATATGTATGTATGTATGTATGTATGTATGTATGTATGTATGTATGTATGTATGTATGTATGTATGTATGTATGTATGTTTTCTTATATAAATTAGGCCTTGTTTAGTTTAAAAAAATTGTCCAAAAACGTCACATCGAATCTTTGAACATATGCATAGAGCATTAAATATATAGATAAAAAACCAATTACACAGTTTGTATGGAAATTGCGAGACGGATCTTTTGAATCTAATTAGTCCATGATTTGCCATAAAGTGCTACAATAATCCACATATGCTAATGACGGATTCATTAGGCTTAATAAATTCGTCTCGTTGTTTCCAAGCGAGTTATGAAATTAGTTTTTTCATTCGTGTCTAAAAATTCCTTTCGATATCCGATTAAACGTTTGATGTGATACCTAACGATTTCCTTTTCGCGAATTAAACACACCCTTAAAAGAGGGGAAATGTCATGCGTGATTTGGTCCCACTCTCGTGTAGGCGTGTAACGCATGTGGCGTGGTGATATGATATGCCCCAATCAGATTCTGGCAGTGTGGCAACTAGCAATGACCCTGTTCTAAAAAATATAAAAAAATAAATAGCAATGACTCTGTCCCTAGCGAGATTTTTTTTAATTTTTTATTAAAATATTTACAGAAATATTTTTTTAAAAAAACGCACTTCTAGAAGGTGAGAGTCGAGTAGATTTGTAAATTTCCGGAACAGAAAAATTGTCTTTAAAATATTTTACTAAAAAAATGTAAAAATAAAAAAAAATCTCCCTAGCGAACCCTGTTGAGAATTGAACTGGACGACGGTTTTGCCGTGGAATAAGTTCACTTTGGGTCCCTTTATTTGTCACCCATTCCGATTTTCGTTGCTTGACCGCAAAACCGGATACGATCCGTCCCCCAACTTATGAAAACCGGGCAAACGATTTTCCCTCGGCGGTTTTGGCTGACGTGGCGCCTACGTGGCTTATTTGACTAGGTCTTCGTTACACGTGGCATTGACGTGGCGCTTACGTGGCAATTCTACCTAAAAAATAATAAAAACCATGGGCCCACATGTCAGCTGCACACAAAAATAATTTTAAAATAGTGGGGCCCACGTGAGCCCCACATGTCAGTCTCACTCCACTCTTCTTCCCTCTCCCTTCTCTCTTCATCCTCACTTCTCTCTTCTTCCCCTCTCTCTCTCTTCTTCGCGGGCAGCGGACGGCGCAGGTGGGCGGTGGAGCAGGCGAGCGAGGCAGGTGGGCGAGCTCCGGCGGCGGCGGCTCGGCGTGCGCCGCGGCGGGGATGAGGAGGCCGGCGGCGGGGTGGCCTTGGCCGGGTGCCTTGGTGGACTTGGCGGGTGGCGCGGTGGCCGGACCTGGGGTGGTGGGCGCCGCGGCGGGGGCCGGGGTGGAGGGGGTGGTCGGCGCGGCGGCGAGCGTCTTCTTGGAGGAGACCGGCGGCGTGGTGGTCGCCGCCGCCGCGGGGGTGGGCGGAGATGGCGGATTTGGGCGGGAGGTCGCCGGCCCGACTCACTCCCCGCCCTCCACGACGCGCTCGCCACCACCCACAAGGAGCGTCGCAAGCTCAGGCCCGATTTGGGCGGGAGGTCGCCGGCGACGGTGAGGTCAATGGAGGAGGCGGTGGCATGTTCAACGTCGTGCCGGGGCTCGACGGGAAGCCCGGCTCCGTCTCGCTCGAGCTCGGGAGCAAGCCTGGGTGCTTCTTGGTCGCCGGCGCCGGCGCGAAGGTGCAGGTTGGTTGCAGGAGCCGCGGCAGCGACGGGTTAATTAATTCTTTGATCCTTTCTATGCTCAATTTAGTAATTAGCATGGCAAATAGCAGTTGAATGGGAAAATGAGTTTGGTTTACATGTACACTCTGCCTCTCAGTGTTTACTGGAGTAGCAGTGTTGTTACTCTGCAATGTCGGCTCTTTATCTTGCCATTCTTTTCTTAGAAAGAGTATATACCTCTTGATGCAGTTGAGTATACTGGAGGAGACCGGCGACGGCGAGGTCAATGGAGGAGGCGGTGGCATGGGCACCGACGCCTAGCTCATCTCCGCCGAGCGCCGCAGCCAGGGCCACAGCCGCCGGAGCCGTGCCACCGTCGCTAGAGAGGAGAGGGGAGAGAGAGTCGAAGAGAGGGAGATGGGGAGAGAGAGAGGAGGAAGAAGAGATGGCTGAGAATGACATGTGGGGCCCATGTGGGTCTTACCATTTTTTTTATTAATTTCTATGTAAACCTGACATGTGGGTCCTAGGAGGTTTATTATTTTTTGGAATTGAATTGCCACGTAAGCGCCACGTCAATGCCACATCAGATGAAGACCAAGTCAAATTAGCCACGTAGGCGTCATGTCAGTCAAAACCGCCGTTAAAACCGCCGAGGGATCTCATCTGCACTGGTTTTGACAGTTGAGGGACGTGTTGTATCTGGTTTTCCGGTTGAAGGACGAAAATCGGATTCGTTGACAAGTTAAGGAATATATGATGAACTTATTTCTTTTGCCGTTCGGTTCGATTGATTGGGTCAGGCCCATCATCTGGGCTTATGGATAGGCCGCGTTGGCGTTGGCGTACGTACTTCCGGCCCATCACCGAATCGATCTCATGCACGGCTGGGCCATATCCATCCATTAAGTAGCCCCGACACTGATATATCGATCAATCTTGAGGCATTTGTAAATTTACCACTATTTTTTTAATTTTGTAAAGAGATTATTCGAATTACAGTTCCAGTGTCATTTCATAATTTTCTCTAGTGGTAGTCTTATAATAATAATTTAAAGCAGTGGCAAATTTATAATTGTTCTCATCGATCTCTTGATCTCTCGAGTTTATCCTGAGAACATGTCCTACTTGTGAGTTGTGACTGAGTCAAATACTCAAATCCCATTTTAGACGGATAAACAACACGAAATATCACATCTTATAGCAGGTACAGTAACAGGCTATAAATCAGCTGTAAACATATTTTAAACAGATAAATGAGGAGAGAGAAGAGTAGCGGGCTATAGATTTATAGCCAGTTGTAGCACGGACTCTAAGACACCGGATGTGTATAACAGGTGGGACCAGATATTAATAGTGTAGTATATAACTATTATATAAATAAGCTATTAGATTGACTATAAATAAATTAAAGTTAGTAGTTGACTGTACTATTAAACTTGCTCTTATGCACGTAACACTCGGTAACTGATGACGAAGAGTCTTGTCTGACGCGAGTTTTCGTCATTGAAAAATAATATCTTCGACGCTACTAAACGTCTACCACTACACCAATTAGACCAGAAACACACGCTAATTAATCCAATCTTATCTCAATGATGATCAAACTACACACTTTGTCCCCGAGCAGAATCGGGATCCAGTAGATCACGCACGAACGCAGGCAGCATACTCAGTGTGCATTGACAGTCCTGCCCTTGCCCGGTCAAAGACGAGCTTTTCGGTCAAAGCAACTCCCCGTGCGTGCTCTCCATATTTAAAAAGCTAGAAAGCGACCGGAGTTTAAACAAAGCGCGCAAGATTACGGCTTCACATAGCCACTAAGAGCAAGTTTAATAGTATAGACCACTATTAGCTTCAAATTATTTATAGTCAATTTATACAATAGTTGTATACTATACTATTAATATCTGGTCACATATATTATACATACATTATGTCTTCGATTTCGTACTGTGCTTTTCTATCTCTTTGTTTATCTCTTTAAAATATATTTATAGCTGGCTTATAGCCTACTGCTCTAAACCCCCACCCACCTCGTAATCTCTTGGGACTTGTCTTTACGTACGCCAACCTCCTCCTCTCGTCGCGTCGTCCCCTTTGGGAACACATATTTTTATTCCCATGGAGCTAGCTATGGTTGCAGTTGCCGATTATTCCATAGATTAAGATTGCTTTGCTTTGCTTGCTTCTGTGCTCTTCTGCCGCTTTTCACTTCACTCTTTGCTTCGGCCCGTGGTCCAGCCAGTGCGGTGATGGATTCTGTGGTCGTACGGTCCCGTGTTGCTGCTGTGATTGCCCTCCTGTGTGTGTGAGATACTGTGATCTGGGGCCATGAACCTTCTGATGTTTGCTTTTGTACTTAAAAAAGTTCATTAAGGAGTGATTGCCATGTGTGTGTGACGGAATTGGAAAGCTATATACCAACGCTAGGGCGATACGTGGCTGGATCTGAAAATGATCACGACCCATGCAGAACTGAACATGTGAATTTAAACACTACTACTATCGATCAATCACAAAGATAAATCCAGGTGGGCAGTACAAATCCATGACAATTCCTAGTCACAAACAGACCGACATATGGCACGCAAGTGCAAAAGGTTCAGCTGAAATATCCACGGCATGAGTCAGCTGATGGCTCCCTCAAAATCCATAATGGAAAACCAATTGATAGTGCGGTAAGAGGAAACATAAAATATGATATACTATTTGTGAGGTTTCAATGAAATATCATTCAGTGCACCGATAAAATATCACTTGGTACATTATCTTCTAAATAAAATGTCACTTTATTGAGTTTTAAGACCAAAAACCCTTATATATGGAGAGAGAGGGGGGGGAGGGAGAGGGGAGCGTTGGGGATGGCCAAGCTCGACAGCGGCTATGCTCTCAGGATGCTGGAAGCGAAACGCGCGGGTGGTGGCAGCGGCACTGGAGGTCTCGCCGGGAGGTAGAGGTGGCAGTGATGACGACAGCGAGAGGAGGACAGTGCCACGAGCAGTGAGCGTACACTGGCAACGCCCCTCCTCTCCCGCGCGCGCATCGTCCCCTCCTCTTTCCGTCCTTTCGTCCCCGCGGCCCACCTACCGCTCACCGCCCTGTTATCCCCGCTGCCTTCTCCTCCCGGCGAGCCTTGTAGCGCCGCTAGAATGCACGCTCCCTGTTCGTTGTCAGTCTTCCCTGACGCTCCCGTCTCCCTCCCTCTATCTCTAGAGTTAAGGGTATTTTGATCTTAAAACTCTTTAAAGTGGTATTTTATTCGGAAGACATTGTACCGAATGGTATTTTATCCTGTGTATTATAGTAAGTGGCATTTCATTAAAATCCTACAAATGAAGTGGCACATGATCTATTTGCTAATGGAGTTGACACCTTGCCAAGTGAGGATTCGCCCATGATTATTTGTATTGAAATTATCTGGATATATACCTGAAAGCAACAGTAGTTAAGAAAAAAAAAGAAGTGGTAAACTCATTTGAAAAAGGTGATAATAAGATAACTATCGAACAATTGGTAACTCGTACATTAATTGTTGAAACTGATTTTTTTAAAAAAATCATTGGATTTTCTAAAAAGATATTAAACTTTTTTTAAAACACATTGATCTGTTGGCTGTCAGGTTCGCAATGTCAAGATTCATGGATATATTGAAAAAGATAAAATCGTTAAGGCCGGTAGATATATTATTGGATTAATTTGTAACTACAGGTAAATTAATTGATAAAACTTAGTATATTTTCTGTAATTTCATCAGATTTGCTAAAAACTGTTAATTTTTTTAAAACAATCGATTTGTGGACCACCATAAAGATTTGTGGTGCAAAATATGGAAACAAACCTTGTTGGTTATTGTGCGGTGTGCCTCCACTGGTAGCCAACTTAGTAACACTGTGTGTATTCTTTTATACATTAGTTGTATGCTGATGACATTACGATTTCTTTTTTAAAAAATAACATCAGAAGTTATATAGTTAGTCTCATTTTCATTAAGCTAAGTTAGACGGATAAATCAAACCAAAGTTTCATATTAAGAAAAGAATAAAAATATGATGAAACAGGGTTCTGTGTAAGAATTCCTTAGAGTTCATGCATACGCATCCTGCATTAGCCACTACTAAAAATCCGAGAATGAGTCATGATTGATAGCACCATCATCATCGGACATAACAAATACACTTTCTTCTCCCATCCTTTCCGCTCTACTTTGCTATGCCAACTACTCTTCTCTCCTCCTTGTGATTGCTTTGCTCATCCCTCTTCGCTGCCCCACTATAAGGTATAGGGTGTCGTTTTGAATCAAGTCTTAAATACTTCTATATCGAAGCAGGGATTTAGGTCGTACTACTTCATTTTTATTGCCCTAAAAACATAAATATAAATTCATATTAGTCAGTTATACTAGGGTTTGGTGTTTCCAATCAGCATTGTCGTTTTTCTATTAACATCAGTATGCTTCTGCTCCGATAGGTTTGCTTTAGACACTAGCATAATTTAATAGGGCAAGAATTGCCGTTTTCCGATTGATATCGACATGTCTCTGTTTTCATAGTTCTATTTATGATATTATAACAGAGAGCTACTATTGTATTTCTTTTATGTCTGTCTGATTTCATTCTATTTCATGGTAGGTTAGGTCCCGTTTAGTTACCTAAAAGTATTTCTCAAAAACATCACATCGAATTTTTACCATATGTATGGAGCATTAAATATAGATTAAAAGAAAAACTAATTGCACAGTTATGGAGGAAGATGAATCTTTTGAGTCTAATTAGTCCATGATTAGCCATAAGTGCTACAGTAATCCACATGTGCTAATAACGGATTAATTAGGCTCAAAAAATCGTCTCGCGATTTCTAGGCGAGTTATAAGATTAGTTTTTTCATTCGTGTCCAAAAACTTCTTTCAACATTCGGTCAAACATCCGATACGATATAAAAAAATTTTTCATTTTGCGAACTTAACATCTCAATCGATTTCGACCAATCTAGCCGCTATGTGCACTCCTTTTCCTCTGCTGGTTGCCCACGAGAGCCTATCGCCTATTCGCCTCCTCCGCTCCTCAAATCCCAATCCCCACTCCCACCTCACTCCCCCCCTCTCTTCGCCTCCCTCTCTCTCTCCTCCGCCATGGTCATGGACAAGTCCAGCCTCCCGCCGCCGCCGCCGCCTCCCGCCTCTTCCGCTTCCGCCGCCGCCGCCTCTTCCGCCCTCAAAGCCCTGAACAAGTCATCCTACAAGATCTCCAAGCAGACCTCCTCGTCATCTCTGGCTTCGATGAAGGCATCCCAATCGCCACCGCCGCCGCCGCCGCATCCTCGCCGCCCTTCTCCTCCTCCGCTCCCGCCGCCGCCGGCTCCTCCTTCGTCCGCCCCCGCCGCGGTTGACCACCCGCCGCCGCAACCGCCTGTGTACAACATCGACAAGTCCGACTTCCGGGACGTCGTCCAGAAGCTCACCGGCTCCCCCTGCCACCTCCTCCCGCCTCAGGCTCAGCCGCCGGCCCCCGCCGCCGCCGTCTCCATGCTCCCTCCCCAGCCCCCGCCTCCTACCATCATGGCGCCTCCGCCCCCACCCCCGCCGTCGGCCATTCCGACCCGCCTCCACCGCATCCGGCCGCCGCCGCTGGCTCCGCCCCGCCCGCCGCCCATCCTGCAGCCGGCACCGCCCGCGCTCTCTCCGCTTCCGCCGCTGCCGGCCGTCTGCATGACGGCGGAGTCCCCCATCTCGGCCTACATGCGCCGCCTCCGCGGGATGCCGTCGCCGATCCACGTGCCCACCTCGCCGCTCGGGTTCGGGTGCCTGCCCTCTCCACGGACGCCGCCATCGCCCGGTGTACCCATGCCGGCCACCAGCCCCCGCGTCCGCGACCCGTGACCGAGAACCAGCCATGGGTGCTCCTGCTGCTGCTGCTGCTGCTTCCAATGTGTAGATATGGCCGGTGTAGGAGAGATCTGGCGAGGCGGCGGCGACGACGAAAGGAGGAAGGAGCAATACAATTACAATGTGTTAGCTTCACCTTAAAATCTTAGCTCAATTTTTTTTAGCATGTTCTACCTACCTTATAATATTTTGTTGGTGTATATGGCGATGAATTGATCATGTTTGGCTAATTTTGTAACAAGCTTATGCAATATGTAGTAGCAAAACTCAAATCTTTATATGCAAAATTTATTTAGAAGAATTTCATGGAAGATGATTGTTCATGATCTGATTTCTTAAGGTGTTGGTGAATCATGATCCTACATGCCTTGTACTGGAAATGTTTTGAACTACTCCGTAGGTTAATTTGTTTGTGTTTGTGAAGTACAGATTACACCTCAGAAGCTGATCAAATCTAAGCTCGGTGCAGATGCCACCAGATGTTTGAGCTTGGTCTTTGATGAGTGATTGGTATTTGGATCATTGTTCATGACAGATTTTGTTCTGTAGGCGATTGCAATTATGCTTCGATTTCTGGTGTGATATCGACATTTTTTGTTTTGTTTTCTGGTGTGCAATGTGGCCATCTAATTATGGCTACATGTGGTGTAAAGCATATGTTTGGTGATACATCGCCGTTCAGCTTTGCCTTTTCTCCTGTTAATGATGGATTTCATTTGTTTATCGTGAGTATCAGAGCCTTTGCAGGTTGCACGCTCTAGAAATTGTATGAATCATTATATCAGCAGCGGCAAGTTTCCTATCGCCAGTGAGGTAAATGATACAAAGTTTATTTACTTGATCACATTGACATCTTGTAATATGGAAATGTGTGAAAGAAAATTTTAACACTCTAGCTGATGCTTCAATAAGCACTTAATCAATTGGTGACTGACAAGTATTAAGTGGAAAATATCACATTTTTCTATTCTCGATTTTCACTTTCAGAAGCTTTTGACTTCAGTGAATTAGTGGTGAAGTGTCGAGCTGTCGACATTGCAAAAGTGGTCAAGGACTCATGGGTGAACACGGAGGGAACATATTCGAGGTACAAGTATATGGCCTGAGCACACTTGCTTATCTTGAGCTCAAACGGAGGTGAGCTTGTGAGATATTCAACTTAAGGGAATTTTACTGTGTGTCAAGTTGATTGAAAAGCAACAGCCGAAAATCACAGGTGTCCATTTCTGCCATCACATGAAATCCATTTTAAAGAGATGATGAAAAGATACAGGTGTATATGGTCTGCGATGCAACATCTGTTCTGTTATTTGGTCCCTTTGAATTTTCGTTCTTCCCCGCTAGCCTGTGCTTTTGTTGCCACAATATATTTCTTCCTGACATTATTCGTTGTTTTTGTCCATTTGTTAGCTTGACGCCACCCTTCCGATGTTTTGCTATCCAAGTTACGTGGTTTCGGCAAATCATGCGAACCTGCGTAAGGTTTGAACAGCATGGGAAACACTTGCAGCTGTATACAATTGTTTAGTTCAAAGAGTCTCATTTCTCTGTAGGCGTTCGTTTGTGCCAATGACTACAGGTTTGCATCCAAATTGTATGTCAGATCTGAAGTAACCTGTTTTTAGAATTAAGGAATTCATGAGTTTAAAAACAGAGAAAAAAAATCATGAACCAACTCATCTCCCACCCATAAACTCAGAAAATCTGTAAAAGTAATATCACAAATCACTAGCCAGGAAACTAGAAGTGTTAAAGGCACATGCGAAACTGCCCAGATGAGTGGTGTACTACCAAATAGCTGTTGGTGCTTGGGAGGAAGAAGTAATGGTAGAACATGACATGTCCTATCTGTCCCGGCATGAAAATCAATTCACACTGGGAGCCTCCTGTGCAACGGCAATCTTTACTGCGATGGGAAGAAATGCATAGCTGGGCTTTTTTTCTCATGGAGATAAATGACTGGGATTCTGTAGCCAACAACTCAAGTACCTCTCCATTCATTCCGGTTTCAGGCAATTTACCATCCTCTACACTCTCCACTGCCTTGGCTGGCAGTGCTTCCAAACCTGTGCTTCTTTCTCTGATTCGCTCTGCCTACCCAATCTAGCTGCCAAATGGCTGCACAATTGCACTGCCATTGCACTCGTCGTTCAAGCTTGCTCTGGAACCAAACAGCTACTGGAGGTACTCAGTCTGAAACTGCAAGACGGCGGTCTGCTCTGGGTCTTCACAAGGATGTCAAGGTTGGTCGTCTGTCAGACCAGTGTGCCATTTCTAGCCAAGACTAAACCAGAAGCCAGTGCCATCCCAAACAGAGCATGTAGCCGAACACAGTAATACTTTGCCATGAAAATCTTGCTGTTGTCCTGAAATTGTAATGTCAACCTTATAAGGTGATACCGAAATGGGGACAGTTTTTTTTAAAAAAAAATAAATGGGAGAGTGGTATGAGAGACTTACTTCATGGTTTTTCAGCACATAGTCCACAACCCATTTGCCCACAGGGAGTGTCAAGGCACAAAGGACCTGAAATACAATAGAAGTAATGGTTGAGTTTAGAAAGTAAGAACTGGTTTGGGATCGGTATCTCAACATGAAGCAGTAAGGAACATTGGCTCACAGTGCAAGCTGATGGAAGAGATTTGCTCATGCCAAAAGCAGCCAAAAGAACATAAAGCGTGACAACCCCAAGAGTCACTAATCTTGATCCTGTTTTGGTGCCAATTCTTACCTGTTTGTAGGTTCAAACATACGAGAGGTAAACGATTTTTTTTTTCAAAGCTGCACAAGTGAAATGCTAAAGCTAACTTTAGGCGTTGGTCATAATCATAAATAGAGAAAATTACCAGGGGAGACATTTTCCCAACAGCACGATCTCCATCAATCTACAAAATATCAGACTCCATCACTGACAACAACAATAATATTCATAGTCATCACAGCACATTGCTAAATTATGCCAAAGGAATTATACCTGATGAAAATGGCTGCAGAAGAGTATCAGGGTAGTCGTCAGCCCAACTAGAATGGATGAAGCAATGACTGTTTTACTGAGAGGGAGAAGAGCTGTTCCGCTGTAATTGAAGCATCTCAAGACAAATAATGTAGGTGCAAATGGCCATTATATCCCCTTGGAAGTGAAAGTAATAGTGGGAACCTTCTTGCTTTAGAGGATACCTGGAAATGTTTCTGCTGCTGTTTGAGAAGTAGAAAGCTGTGGTTGCCAATGGACCAAATGCAGCAAAACATAATGGTTCACCTAGTCCCCTGTAACTTAGTCGGAATGGTGGGCACTACACAAAGAGAAAATACAAAAGAAGAAATGTCTGAGATATTGAAGAAATCGAGGTGAAACATAGTGAACTGCTAAAATGCTTCAGCTTTAGCTGTTAGTAGAGATAGCTTCTTGCAAAATGGCACATTTTTTATGTGCTAGAGTTCATGATGATTCCTCCGAAAAAGGGTAGAAAAATTTACCTGATAAACATAGCCACAGATGATTGCACAGGTTACCGATAAAATGAACCTGGCATCCCCAGCTTGGGCAAAGGCCCAAAATAGCCCCATAAATCCGAACAGGAGAGAAATATTTGCAGCATATTGCGTCATCGTTCGACTGCAGAGTGCATTACGATGTAACATGTTTTCACTTCTAAAACAATGGTTGCAAACTATTTTTAAAAAACAAAAGCTTGCATAGTAGTTGCATTATTGCTTGGTATTAGCAGTACCTGCCAACGATGTTAACAACAGATTCCTTCTTGTTCTTATCAGCCCCAGTATCTGAATCGTAAACATCATTGCTGCAATGAAATCAAACTCTCAGGAACAAGTGAGCATGATAAAACGTAACAATGGATCAATAGTGATTCCCATGTTAGCTTTTGTTTATCCTTGTTAGTGTGCCCTACCTTAGATTGAGCCAAGTGATCACAAGGACTGATGCAACCAAGAGAACAAAATACCGTTTACCAAAGAATGAACCCACATGATGGTAAGCACAGGCGCTTCCAACCTGCAGGGTAAGCGAAATATTTTTATCGCACACTTTGCAGGAATATATTTTGATGAACAAAATGGTCTTTTTCATCAAGGAATAGAGTAGCAAATTATGTGGCATGGATAGACGGATTGAACGAAGCTTCACCAATATGCCGCTGCAAAGTGTCTCACAAGTCGACAGTAAAATTACTCACCGTGAGTGGCACAAGCGCCACGGAGTAGATTGGCAGCTTTGCCGCCCTCCAGAGCAGCGTCCCTCGGGAGAGCTCAACGTCGTCTCCTGCGCCTTCACCGGACGCGGCAGTAGCGGTAGCGGAGCACTGAACCGCGCGCGGCCTCCTTCTCGCGGCGGCGGCGGCGGCGGAAGCAACGCTGCTGCGGCGATGATGTGGAGGCGCGAGGTGGGAGACGAAGAGAGGCGCGAGGGCGATGCCGGCGAGCGGCATCGGGCACCGGGCGCAGGAAAGCGAGGGGGCTCAGGTCAGACGCGGCGTTCCATGGAGCGTGCCGCCGTGTCGCGGCCAGGCGCCGACGCTTCGGTTTGGTCTGCATGGATAAGGCTCGGTCATCGGTTGGTAGATTTAGGTCGGCTGGGCCGCTGGGATGTGAGGCGGTGGGCAGCCCGCAGCCGCAGGGTCGGGTCGGCCTCCATGTCACCTGGCCTCCATACCACCTGTCTCAATTATAGCCGGAGTCCAAATTTCGTCCTTCAGTTGGTAAAAGAGATTCATTCCCTAACAATTTATATCAGTGCTGGTTATTTTGGCTCCCTAACAATTTCGACGGTGGTTTCATTCCAACACCGTCCATAGAGGTCGAGACGATTCACGATTGTCCCACACTCCCACTCCTATTGAAACAGTACATATACTGTGGGAGTAGTAGTGCCTCCCAATACGCCATTCTTTACCCATACAGGCATACTCTCGTGTGCATGCTATGCCTTGCTACTCTGGCTAGCACTCGCGTGCCGAAGAGTAACACCGAGCCGACACACCAGTTTGAGTTGAGGTATGTGAGTTCTGCCGCGGCAGTATGGCAACGCCGGCGCCGAGCCGACGCGCACGCGCCCGTGCTGCTTATCCTTTTGCGGGCGCTGCTGGGTTCCGTGATTGGTTGTCTCCGTGGTCTTTCATAAACTGCTACAGTTTTCTCATGTCCTGATCCAGTGAGCTAAATATTGGGCCTTCTGTACATCAGTACGTCCAGTTCTTCGTCGGCCTAAGATTTTACCATCAGCCTAATTAGTGAATTAGGTCTGAGTATCTAACTGGTTATGTATAGCAAGATGTATATTTCCCCTGAGTAAAGACATTGTCAAATCGGTCAGGGACTAATTACAAAAACCTAAGAGGACAATGTAGTAACATATAAAATTACAAAAAAAAACACGGCGTAAACTTAACAGGCTTGTAGAAAAGCGTAAAATTCCAAGAGAACGCACTGCCTCCCAAATCCGTGACCAAGAAACTCGGAAATTCAGAAACGACAGCAAAGTGCCTGCCCCATTCCTCTCCTCTTTAGTACCACCTCGCCAGTTTAGAATGCATTGCACCAAGCTTAAATAGTCAGCTCACCAACTCTGCACCGCCGAGCTCAGTAGCGAGAGCTTGTAACCCATGTGGGGGCATCAGGTGGTGTGGATGATCGGTGCTGAATTTGGGCCTGGGTCCATGTGTTGTTAACTATGCTGGCTTGCGTAGTGGGTGGAGGGGCTTCGGCGAAAGCCTTGGTCTCTCCGGCCCTGAAGTTGGCAGACACGGCGTGAGGCTGGCTTCACAGAGCAGCGATCACTGCCCGCTTCCAACGGTGGAAGGATAACAGGCCGCTGCACCATGGGCCCGCTTCTGGCCCCACTATTACAGACCACCATCATTTTCGACATCGGTTGCAGGGTAGAAACCATTTTACTTTCGCATGTGTCGTATTTACAATATAAATTTAACAGCAAACTGTAGAGAACGAATCAATAATATATCGATAGACAAATCAACGCAAACCGACCTTAGCTCAGTTGGTAGAGCGGAGGACTGTAGTTGTTGCAGGTAATCCTTAGGTCGCTGGTTCGAATCCGGCAGGTCGGATTTTTTATTTTTATAGCTTCTCAATGAAGTTAAACACCTCAAACTATTTCGTGATGTTAGATTGTGATCTAATGATATGTATTTCAAAAGCTTTCTTCATGAACTTTTTTGTGATGTTCTTAGATGATGTGATCGACATTAGAAGAGGTGCATTTTAGCTGCAAATACTATCATAAGAATATAAATTAGATGCTGAATTGTCTCCCGGATGAGGTAAAAATGTTACATGGTGATCACCAAATGCATGTATGTAGCTCCTCCACTTGTGCTCTGTTCTTCCATTTCAGATAACAAAGTTTCAGGAAACGCTTGGATTGGAGTGCGCACCAAATAAACGAGGATGATTGTGCATTATTTGATCCTACAGCATGGCGCATGGCAGTTTCAAAGATTAAGCACATCACATTTGAAATTTTCCTCCAATTCAGTAGAGCATCATATGCCTAATTGCCTAGCAAATTGCTTCACTTCCTTGCAAGGCTGAAGCCCTGGTGAGGCCTGCTCTTGGACCTGCTCCTGCTGCCCCTATGGCTGCCGCTCCCATTATCCCTCCCCCGGTTCTTCACCGACGAGCCGGGGCTCTGGCTCAGCCGCCGCGACGACGGCGTCGGCCGCCTGCGCGAGCTCCACCCTCCGTTCCCGAGCGCCGCCTTGGCGACGCTGTCCTTGGCCGCCTCCCGCGCGCGCTGCGGCCTCACGGGCTGCTTGTTCAGGTACTCGAGCCGCGACAGGAGGCCCGACGCCGACTTGCGGAGCGCGTCGTCGCCGATGTTTGTCTGCACCGGGTTGCCGACGAGGTTGAGAGCCCTCAGCGAGCTGTAGTTGGCGACGAGCTGCCCCAGCGCCTTCGTCGTGGTGATCTTGTTGAAGCTCAGGTCCACCACCGCCAGCTTCAGCAGCCGGTGCAGCCCCTCCACGTCGCTGATCTTGTTCCCGGCGAGGTACAGCTCCCTGATCGCCCCACAGTTCGACAGCCCTGAACGAATCGAAACCACAAATTGTTCACTTCTTTTGATTCAATTCACACGAATAGTATAATTAACTGCAGGGTACACTGTCATGTCTCATGTGATACTAGCTCGCATGGTGCATGGAAACAAGCTAAGCAGTGCGTAGGATGGACCAGAGCGGACCGATGTGGCATCCAGTCACGCTCGCGCACAGCGGTTTCTTTTCTTTTCTAGGGACGAGCAAACCTGCGGGACATCCACTCGATTCCCAAGGTTCTGAAGAAGTTGGCCGAAAGGAGCATGGTACACGGTCACGAGTATCGTCTATCAGAATGTACGAATTGTACTATCCGAAAGGTAAGAATGTGATATGCCTAGATTGGATATCTGATGGGTGTCAGCATGCGGCGCCCTGTGTATGTACTCGTTTCTGCTTATCAATCTGGAGTCGCCGGTAAATAAGGTGAAGCACATGAACCTTGTATCGATCCCTTCAGTGTCACAGTGTGTGTGCCAGCATTAGTTTCAGAGCATGACATGACGCATCGTTACTGTGCACTACTAAAGTCTGTACCATGGACCATCCTAGTACTTAGCCCGGCCCAATGTCTATCGACTGCCACCGATCCAGAAGTGCACACGAGCATTGCACAATGAACAAGATCCACGCAAAGCCTGGCTTTCACCAGTAGCAATAAACTTACTGAAAGAAACAGCTGTGATATCTGACGAAATGCTTACCGTGACCAATCCGTGAAATCTTGTTGTAGCTGAGGTTGAGCACGCGCAACCTCGTCAGTTCGCGCAGCCCCTCGATGACAGATATCTTGTTCCTCGACAGATCGAGTGAGTGCAATCCCTTAGGCAATGATCCAGATGATATTTGAACTGCAGAACGAATGGATTGATCAGCCAAGAACGAGAAACATGAAGATTAAATTGCCGCACGTAAAATGAAAAAAAAAATTAGCACATAATTAATTAAGTTTTAATTATTATAAACTTGATAAATGAATATATTTGATATTTTAAAGCAACTTCTACATAAAAAATTTTCGAACGGATTGTACCGTTTAGTAGTTTGAAAAGTATGCTAACGAAAATCGATATAAAATATGTATCTTAACGAGAAAAGAACGTGATAATTTACCGATGAGGTTGCCGGACAGATTGACTGCCCGGAGGCTGGAGAACGGCGAGATCACCGGGATGACAGTGAGCCCCATCCCCGATATGTGCGCCACGGACGAGGACGTGGTGAGCGTTTGTATGATGCTGTTCGCCTTGATGGCCTCGCCGGCCATGCGCCGCCGCGCTTGGGCGGGGAACTTGCCGCCGAACGACGAGGGCTCCCCGATCTCCGTGCAATGCGGGCGAGCCGTGTCGTCGTCATCGTCGTCGTGCTCCACGATGCATTCCTCGTTGGCTTTGAACGGGTTGTCCACGAGGCTGTTCACCCACGCGCTGACCCGGTCCAGCGACGTGGCCTCCGACGAGAACGCCATCCATTGGTTCGGGATGGGCTCGTGGCCTACGGCGATCCCCTTGTTCTTGACGTCGGCCGTGGCGGCGCCCGCGTCGAGCGTGTCGGACGCGTACCCGTCGTGCCGCTGCTCCGCCGACGGCACCGCTGCTGGTACGGTCGCCGCCGGCCGGTGCAGGTTCCGGTGGCTTCGCAGGAGCAGCCTCCACCACAGCTTCCGGCTCCGGGACGGGAGCACCTGGCTGGACGAACACTTCTTCAGCATGACGTGGTCGGCGCTGCACGTCGTCTTCACGGACGCGGCTGGGCTGTCGTCGGGCGCGCCGACTGGGGTGGCTGTGGCTGAGCCACCGGCAGGCAAGGCCATGAGGTCGCCGTAGGAGAGCGACTTCGCCGGAAGTTCGAACGCTTTCGAGCCACGCCTCGCCGTCTCGATGTTGGAGCACGAGCGTTCCAGCCTCGATGCCATGGCCGGCACCATGAGGCCAACCCCGGGCTCGCTAGCGTCCGGTGCTGCGGCGGCGCTGCTAGCATCCTTGTCGGCGGCGTCGCTATTGTAGCCGGAAGAGTCTGCGTCGCCGCCGGCGACGAGGTCGACGTCAGATGTGTCCCTCTTCACCGAGACCATGTCATCGTCCTTGTCGCGGCCTTCACAAGCCAACTCAGCGGCGTTGAAAGCGACAACCTTTGTGTCACATGCCAGGACAATGTCACCACCGCCTTTCACGATGTCGACGGTGTCCGTCCCCTCCATGAACTCCACCGGTTTCACCTTCTGGAACTCATTGCCACCAGACTTCTTGCCGTAACCAATCTTGCTCGTAACCTGCCATGTTCAGAGCTGATAAGAAACAAAAACTTAAACCAAAATTCATCAAAGAACTGGGTCTCCTAAGAATATAATCCACCAACCTTTGATAACTTCCTCTTGCCGGCGAGAAGAGCAGAGAAGCAGCTGATCTTGGTCATCTTCCCCAGCCACAGCACTACTAATTCTCTTTTTACACCTCAGAAATCTCACCTATTTCCCTTGTAAAATTAACAGAAAAACTACTCCCGAAAGAAGCAGCCTTGTAATTCTTAGCCGTTGTCTATGGGAGAGCCCTTCTTCCAGAGGAGAAAAGCGGCGAAAGGAAGGGTGCCTGCATCCTCCTGCGGCCGCACGACGGTCGGGGCGCCGCGCGGCGGTGCGGCGGAGAAGGCCAGATCGATCGAGCGGCAGGCTGGGTAGTGTACTGTGCACAAAACACGGGGGAAAGTGCAAACGCGCTCGCGTGGGCGTGGGCGTGGGCGTGGGCGTGGCGGAGGCAGAAATAGGCAGCGGACGCGAGAATCACAGCCCTCGACTCGGATGGTCATATCCCTTGGCATTTTTATACGGTATATCAGCGGCGTACGAGAGTTGGTGCTGGAAAAGCGCGGACGCCAGCCTACTTGGCCAACAACTACCCGCGAGGGCGGTGGGTGCCGTGTGCCACGCGCGGGCGCGCGACGACGAGACGAGGGTGGCGCCTGGCGCGCGCGGGGCAGCTTCCGACGTCACCGCGGCCCGAAACAGCCTCGCGCCGCTGGAGAAGTTGCTCGGGTTTTTTTTTGGGGCGGGCGCTTTCGAGTGGCGACCTCGGGTCGGTCGGGTCTTGCACGTACGCCTGCTTTACGTCGTACCGTGATACAATTGTGTTGTATTTTGGGTTTGACTTTGGGAGAGGGATCGGAGACGGAGTTCTTTTTGGCCCCGAGCGTGTCTGCGTGTAATTTAACTCTACTTTGGCCGCGCTTCGGTCACGGAGGATGACGTTTTGCGTGGGTGTTCGCCTGTTCGGTGTTGTCTGGTTCAGTTTACACGTTGTTCGGCGCGGTAGGCCTACATAATCGACCCCCACCCATGTCGAAATTCACCCCTCGCCACGGGCCAGGGTAGGCCTGACGCCCTGAACCTGATTAAATTATCGGTCCAGCTGCAAACAGGGATACTCATGCACCACACGAGGGAAAGTATATAAAAAAATTCATAAAATTTGATAAGATAAATTATGATAATACAAGACACCGTATAAACGTGCAAATCTAAATTCGATTTACACAGGAAGAAAAAAATAACAAATTTATGCTTCACTGACTTATTTCATTATTTTTCTTTCTCTAGTTATAGATCTAATATAGTCTTGCATGTTTGTGCATACACTTATAATTATTATATTTTTTTATTCTCTCTATAATTAGTTAAGTCATGTATAAATGATTTGTACCATGGTAACTAGGTATATAAAATACTTATCCCACACGACATGCTAATGACAAAAAGATAAGTCAATGATGCCTACGTCGATTTCATCTGGGGACTTGGCAGATTCGAGCCTCACAAAAGCGAATGGTTCACCGTTTCGTCCGTCTCGATCCCGCGCGCGTGTGTAGGCCGGCGTGCTCCGGCACGTACGCGCGCGGCCGCCACCTCCCCCAGCTGGGACAGCCGCTAGCATCCGACCAGAGAATACGCTGCATTTGGCTTGTATTTTACGCCGATTCGTCAGCCTAATCCGTGCACCGCACTATTATCTGCTCTAGTTAAATCTTTCATTGGCCGTCCTCGTACGTGCAGTGTTACTCCCGTCCCTTTCGTTCGCTCATCTTACTGGATCTTACTGTTTGTTAATTACACTGTGAGGTACTCGCCGAGCGAGTTGAGACTTCTTCTCCGAGTTTGACGAGAGCATTGTATAATATCATTGGATATGCAGAGATCTAAGAGATGCACCCTGGTCCCTGCGCCGGTTTTGACAATGTCATGTATTTGAAGAACGGTGCACGCCTGCACGGCCACTTTGCATAATTGCATTTGTTCCTGGATGCCGTTTTCATTGCATCTCGGTGGAGATAAAATTGACAGCATGTATTGTACTTATCAGTAACTGTTTCTTCTACTACATTTGAACAATCGGTTGGACATCTAAAAGGTGATGCCTGTACTGAGGAATAAGTTGCATAAGCAGCAAATACGTACTCGCTGCTAATAGATATGACTGGTTCGATTCGCTGACTTTCATGTCATTCCCCCAAGAGGAGAGATTTATCAACTACAACTTTACATCTCGTGCCGCTGCCACCACCGTTGAAAATTGAATGTATGCAAAATGGAAGGCAAGAAAACCACAATCAAGAGTCGCCATCGATCATGGCCCGCCCGCTTTGATTTGAGTGGTTTCTTCGATTCAACGATTTCTACGGCTAGTCCTTTCACTGGTAATAAAAGCCACAAACCCAGGGAATATAATCTTTTTCAGGGAGTCGTGTTATTATCGAACGCTCTCGTCTGAAGATTGTGAGGCGGGTAACAAGTCTTCGCGTACGATTTCAAGGTTCTGATTTCTCGCTATCTCGTTCAGTCGTTTAATTGCGATGCGCACGATGCGGGCAGTTTGCTTGCGAGTTGCGAGTAATGAATAACAAGTGCACGGGCGCGAGTGGATTGTCTGTCATCTTCTAAAGATTTCAACCTCGTCCGGTCAAATTGGGGCACATTCCATTATGATTTGGTTTGTCTTTGATCGGTCGCATGCACTGTCGTCACGTGCCTTAATTTCTTTAGTACGAGTACACTGTACACGCATATTTATTTTTGGATGTATCGGCCCCTCCAAAGTAGACCAAGGGCATCAGGTGCCTGCCTTATACTGTTCAAACAAAATTCAACCTACAGTTCGAGCAACTGAAGTTTCAACCACGTGCACAACTCACAAACCAACTCTCACGATCACATCGAATGGAGGCAAAAGAAGCAAATATTTCCTCGGCTATTCCGCTGATATAAACGAGTGTGCAACACTGTAGTAGCTGGATAATTTGCCTTTGCTAGTTTGGCTCCACCTGCAGCATCCTTCGTCTTGCTTGGAAACGGGCAAACCTGGTGCTCCCGTCTGCGTCAACTCGCTCGCGCGCCACGTTTTTTTCTTCAGAATGTCGCGGCGGGCAAGTGGGGGGCAAGTGCGGGCGGACGGGATCGCGCGGGAATGCGCGACCGCGAGACGGCGCCATGACTTTCCCGGTCGAGTTTGCTACAGCTAGCTGATAGTAACACAGCGCTTTCATCAGCATGGATGGAGCAAGTCGCATCCATCCGTAGTTTTCTCTGAAAATTCTGTCTGTTATGCGGAAGCATCAGGAAATCGAACGCATGCTGAAGAGACGACGAGATCATAGCGCAACAAGGCGCGCGGCTTCCAATGGGGACTAGAGATGGAACATGGAAGACGATGACCGGAAACTGCCGAGGACGGCGGACTACTGGACGGAGGAAAGGGCGGCGCCGTATCTGGTCAGGTGGCTCAGATGAGATTTCTCCGGTGAGGATAGAGGAGTACTGGAGCAGTGGTCGGGGAAAGGAGAATGGAGAAAATAAGTTTCAGCCTACTGGGCTTGATGGCTCGTTGGTGCTACAGGCCTATTAGGCCATAAACTGCAACCCAGCTCACTTTGGACCCAGCTACAGACGTTCCAACTTGGAATAAGTTCACTATTTGACCCTCAAAAGTGATCGAAATCTAATCCATGACCCTAAACCACAAAACCGGATATCTCGACCTCCGAACTCTTAAAACCGGTGCAATTTGACTCCATAGACGGTTTTGAAGGGCGGTTTCGTTGACGTGGCGCCTACGTGGCAGTATTGACTCGGTCTTCTTTCCACGCGGTGTTAACGTGGCGCTTAAGTGGCATTAGAAATAAAAAATATGTATGGGACCCATTTGTCATTCTCACACAAAAATTAATTGTGGGGCCCACATGTCATCCTCTCTCTCTTTCTCTTCCCTTCACAAGCGACGGCGGTCAAGGGAGGCCGGCAGGCGACATTCAGGCAAGCATCGGCGGCAGGCAGGTGACACTAGGGTGGCGACAGCGGCGGTCGGGGCGGCGGCGGAGCCAGATCTTCCTCCTCCCTCTCTCTCCCTCATATCTTTCTCCCCCGTTTCTCTTCACGGGAGCAACGACAACGGATGGGGGTCGGGTTTGGCGGCAGCGGCGGTGCCCACTGGGACCTACTAGGAGACTGCCACGAAGCACGTCGCAGAGCGGCGGCGGTGGTAGCTGCGACAGCAACGTGGCAGGGGGCAGCGGAGCTTGAGAGAGTAGGGCGTGACCACTCCTCGTCGCCGCACCACGTGGAGAAGGAAGGACAGGGAGAGAGATGGGGTCGCTACCGCCGGCGCCGGCAACGACGCTGCGGGAGGGGCGGAGGAGGCTGTGGATGGGATTGGAGGAGGCGTCGGCCACCGCCGCCGCCGAAGATCCGGCCCCTGCTCCGGTGTAGACCTCCGTTTTTATAACAAGAATCACTCGTGTCACTAGTACCATTTCCCTGGATTAAGTAGTCTGGTACTCACGATTACATAGCTGAAATATCAAGTGCGCATACAAGGATTGTCTAGCGCGAATTATTACATCATAGGCCCGCTGGCATAGACTGGAACATAGGACCGAATGGTCCATAATACATGCAAAAGCAGAAATAGATAAGGCAGCGGAATTCAGGCAGCGGCCATGCCATTGCCACAGGCAACGACCGTAACTAAGACCTACGAAGCGCCGTCATCCTCCGCATCCTCCTGAAGATAAGCATAGGGATCCTCCTCGACTTCATTGCCATCCACTGATTAAAATTTGTAATAGCAAGAGTGAGTACCAACCGTACTCCGCAAGCCACCACAACAACAATGCATATGATAGGGGTATTCAAAGTATGGCCATTGGTTTATTTGCGTAAAGCTAGTTTCACAATTCTTTTCACAAGCCTAAGATCTAGCATAGACTAGTCCAGTTTTAATTCTAGTGTTTATTACATAGCAACGGTTCTGTTCACCATCCATTGTCTTCCCAAAGATGGCTTCCCGTTACTGGCCGTCATGGTTTTCTAGGGTTTACCCCTTCTCGCCTCTCGAGAAGTTGATCCACCAGTACAAAATCATCATATGCATATCCCACCCCTCATTCTAGAAATTTAGAGTCTAGCCAAGTGTAATACATGTCCCGGTGCTCAATATCCGCGAGCACGGCTATTCGAATAGATTGGTTTACTCACACTGCAGTGGATGTACACTTTACCCGTACTCCGCGACTTGCCCAACACATGAGCCTACGTCCCAACGAATGAGACTTGCCACGACAAAGCCTTTCAATAACCTCACTTTGGCAGTACTCGCTCCATGAACTTTAGTCCTCATGCACTCTAGGCGTCCAAGGTTTCTAGCAGTGAGAGAAGTTCTAGCGCTCCCGAGGGGAGAAAGACTCACACATTCATTAAGTTATAGTTAGATTTAGGTTTGCACATGGCAGTCCTATCGATGGCGACACCACTGTAGGCACCCGCCCCACGCGGTCCTACCAATGGCTACCCTACCGTAGGCCCCTGCCTCTCACACATCAAGAATTCCACTACGGCTTGGGTACCTCCTCCGCTCAGCTATTTACTCCGCTAGGTCTATACCCACACGAGAAGTACGGTTGTACGGTGGTCGTTCCATGCTTAACTTCATGGCTCAGTCCTTAACTGACCAAGGACGGCACTAGCCTTTACCGGACTCCACCCAAGTCATCCAGCCGCCCCAGTCGGAAACAGTTGTTTAGTTTTATTTCTCCTTTCACAAATCATGTCATCAATGTCATGGCAATGTGGCGCTCATGTCTCCACATACCGCATCTCAACTACATTCCCTAAGGTAGTTGCCTAAGCATATAGCACTTGATAAATATGAGAATGCATGATTCTAGTGTAGCATGACTAAGCATTTGTCCAATATTGACTAAGTACACACGATAGCAGGGTTTACAATGGGCATACAGATAATCAATATCAAGGCATAGCATATATAACAAGTAGGACATTCATATTCATATATAGCATGCAATTTTATTCAAATCAACATAATTTTCGCAATAGGTTCAACATGCTCAAAGATTAGTGATGACTTGCCTTGATCGCAGTCTTGCTGTCCCTGCTCCTCAATCGACTCAACAATTCCCTCGGAATCTAAGTATACGTGCGAAAGATCGGATTTGAATTCAATTAGAATTCAAATAAATTCACCAAAATTCACACAGTACAAAACATATTAAGAAAATGGTACCATCAGATAGATCTTGATTTTAGATAAATTTAGGTTCAAGTTTCATTCAATTTCGAGTTAAAATGAGTGAGTTATGCTAGTTTAAAAATTCAAATTTGAGTTAATCTGAGAAATTGTAAAAAGTTACTGTTCCTAATTCATTTATTTTTATTCCGATCTGCAATCCATAAACCACAGAGGCTGGCACGTGGGCCATCCACCTATTTATTTTCTCGGTTTTTATTTTCTAATGGAAATCATGCTGTGTCATTGACAAGTGGGGCCGACCCTTTTGATTAGGGGTAAACCGCTCCCTTTAATCACCGATGGGTCCCGCTTGTCATTGACAGTAAACATAATATTGATTTTAATTATATTTTCTAATCATCCGGACCCACGCGTCATAGAATCGGCTAATCATCATTAGGGAGAGGATTACTGTGCGCTAACTACTATGTGGGTCCCACATGGTTTCTCTCTCTCTCGTTCTTTTCTTTCTTCCCCGTCGTCTTCTACCTCTCGCTCGCGACGGAGCAGAGGAGCGGCGTCCGTGCGGCGCGGCGGCCCGAGCCGGAACGACTCGGCGCACGGTGGGGCGAGCGGCGCATCACCAGATACCCGCCGGCGGCGGCGGCGAAGCGCGGCGACTGCCCGGCGCGCGGCGCGACGGCGCGCAGCGGCGCCGAGATCCCAAAAGCGGCGGCGGCACAATGGAGGCCAATATGAGCGCAACCAATGACGATTTAACCATCTAGGGTCCTCATGGAGTATGTAGAAGCAAAAACCTAGCCTAAGTTACATTAGAACGAGGCCCCTCCACGATGAGCTCGGCCATGGTGCGGTGGCGGCCGGAGTCGGCACGGCTACGGCGGCGCACACCCCAAATCGAGGGGGCCGCTGGCTTCTAGGTGTTCAGGTGGTACTACAGGCGCGAGGGCTTACCACGGAGTGGCGGAACGGCGAAGTTCGATGGCGCGCGGTAGCCGAAACAGGGGCAGACGGCGGTCGGCGACAGTCGCAGGTGTTCGACGCTCGGCCTTCCTCGAGTAGTGGCTCCCGGCTCCCTCCAACAGTAGCAATGGCAACGCGGGCACCTTCTCTCCACACCCCGCCACCCACACCGGCCGAGAGGCCCTGTGGCGGCGGCGCAGCCCCCGCCCACCAGGTGTTCGACACCCGGCGGCGGCGCGTTTTCTTTCCTCTGAGATGGAGCAAGAGCTTTGGGGAAGAGGGAAGAAGATAAGGGGCTGATTTTGGATGAGGACGAGCTAGGAGTGAGCTTATAACAGCGAGAGGGAGGGCGATTCCAACTGGATAAGGTCAACCGATGACTCAGCCACGTTTCGATCTCTCCTAGGTTTGGTTCAATGCACTGTGCCAGCATGATTGCCTAGATGATAGAGTTCCAGGAGAGGGATCATTAGCTGGGGAAGGAGCACCCTAATATCCAGCGGTCTCAATTGTGGGCGACAGGATGGCGATGCGACGGCGACAAGAGCGGCGGCGACGGACAGTGATAACGGCCTCGATAGGGAAGGCGCAGGGCTATGCCCTAGGGTGACGCGGGGTCGTCGTGGCGGCCATTATCACTCAATCCCGAATGCGACGCGCGAGGGGACGGGATGACGCGGGCACTCGTGGCGGCGCAGCTTTGGCGCGGGTTTTTGGCGGCTCGGACGGCGGCAGGCCCACGCGGCGTGGCGCGACGCGGTGCGGCGCACGGGTCGGGAAGGCAGGCGCGCGGCACAGCAGCGGTTGGAGAGGGCGTCGTCAGGCGTTTGGTCAGGTTAGACACAAATCGAACACCTGGCGCGCAATGAACAGTAGCGGCCCGAGAAAAATCACAATTAGGGCTTTTCCTAGACCTTTTTGTGTGAATAATTTTTAGATGGTTTAATCTCCTTTTTTTTAGATAGTTACCTATATTTCAACACTTCCAATCTTGTGATTTATTGCACCATATATTAATAATTAATTTTTCTAATTCCAACATATGTTTCTATTTTCCCATATTTAAGGTTTTAGTATTTGTCTTGTCATATCAATATATTTGTCTTCTCACAATATTTAACTTAAATAATACATTTTACAACAGAGAAACGAATAACACCAGCATGATGCAAAAGTTTTTTTTTAAGAGTTCAAAATTTTAGTGATTATTATTAAGGATTTTTAGGATGTTACATCCGGCCCTCGCCCGCCCACCCTCCCGCCGCTACCGTAAGCTCCCGCCCGCCCGCCGCCGCCAATGGCCCCCGTCCCACGCTCGCAGAGAGAAAAAGAGAGATAGGGGGAGGATGAAGAAGATAGAGAGGATGACATGTAGGCCTCACATGTCAGTGGGTCCCACAATTTATTTTTGTGTGAGAATGACAAATGGGTCCCACACATATTTTTTTATTTGTAATGCCACCTAAGCGCCACGTCAACGCCACATGGAAAGAAGACCGAGTCAATACTGCCATGTAGGCGCCACGTTAGCGAAACCGCCCTCCAAAACCGCCGAGGGTGTCAAATTGCACCGGTTTTAAGAGTTAGGGGGTCGAGATATCCGGTTTTATGGTTTAGGGTCACAGATTAGATTTCGATCACTTTTGTGAATCACAAAGTGAACTTACTCTTTCCAACTTCCAACACATGTCAAGTTTCAGGGATAAAGGCTTCAATTTTCAAAAAAGGATTAAGTTTACTAGATCCTTCAATTTGTCGTAGAGTCCGAAACTCGTCCCTGAACCGCAATACAAGATATAACGTGTCCCTCAATTTGCAAAACCAGTGTACCCGAGATCCTAAAGCAGTATAATATCTGGTTTTGGCTAACATAGCGTTGAGTCAACATGGGACCCGCGTGGGCCTACATGTCAGTGACCGACTTGCTCCTTCTCTGTCATCCTCTCCCATCTTGCCCTCACATCGCCAACTCTCCCTAGGCGGGTGGTGGCGGCGGCGCGTCGCCGAGTTGGACCAACCGCCGAACTAAGTGGCGAGAGGTAAGTTTCCATGGTGGACCTCTCACTGCACCTCTGATTCCCAGCTCTTCAGCATGGCAACCGACGGGGAGATGGCTGGCAGTCGGTGGGAGAGGAGCGGCAATGGTGAGCGAGAAGGGCGATGGACGGTGGACTGGAAGGTGGTGGGCGGCAGGCTTCCGTGGTGGATCACCTCATTGTCCCGGCCTCCCGTTGCACCTCCAATTCTCCATCTCTCCAACGCGGCGACCGACGGGGAGAAGGCTGGTAGCCGGCGAGAGAGGAGTTACGCGACAATAGGCGACACAAGCCTTGTTCTCATGGCTCCTCGAGCGGCCGGCGAGAGAGGAGCTGGGCGATAGTGAGTGACGAAGAGCCGGGTCTGATGGCTCCTCCGTGACTCCGCCTCTCTCCAAGTCGACGATTGTCCTTCTCCCCGCTACACCCCGCTTGCGCCCTCCCGTCGGTTGCCGCCCCTCTACAAATCAGTGGCCACTCGCTTGCGCCCTCCCGTCGGTTGCCGCCCCTCTCCAAATCAGTGGCCACCCTTCTCCCCACCACTCTCCTATAAATAAGAGTTGCCAGCTGATATGTGGGCCCACATGAGTTCACTTGCCATGTCAACCAAAACCAATATTATACTTTCTAGGACCTCGGATACACCAGAGTTTAGGTACACATTATATTTGGTATTGCAGTTCATGTAATGATTTCAGACAACGACAAATTAAGAAATATAAAGTGAACTTATTCCTTTAAAAAAATGAAACTGCTCCGAATTTAGACTTCAAAAAACTTATGGTGAGGGCCAAATACAGAGGAAGGAGTAAAGCAGTACAACGGTAAACGAATATGCAAAAGCAGTCAGAAAAGAAAGATGACGGAGAATACCATGCATATCAGCTTTATGTTTCTAAACAAAAAAAAAAATTACTCAGAGCCAAACGGCTTCCAGTACAAGCATATTTTTATACATGGTAAACTTTAAATAAACATTATCCCAGGATTGGTACAACCTGTACGCATAAACCAAAGAACAGAAAAATAAACAGAAAACAAGAAACCTGTGGATTTATGCCGCTATAGCACCTTCCACAAAACTCGTCATTTTCTTTTATTGCCTACCGCAGATTCCACCATATAATATCTAAAGTTGAATGGTCTTTCATTCAACTTATTCTAATTACTGAATCTTCTATATTATCAGGTGCAGGCAGTGTGGTAATAAAATGATAACTGTATAACTATCGAAAAATGTGAGAGAGACATCAACTTTTTTCAGCAAGGCTTTCATAGAAGAGTATGTAGCCGTTATCAGTGTTACCACTGAACTCTTGTGCTGAGCCAAAGAATGTCTGTACCATGGACTCATCAGTCATCTCAACATTCTCGTCGTCGAAGAACAACCAGTGGTTGTGGCTCTTCACTAAGCTGATATAGTGGCCATGATTTGGTCCACTTCCAACATGAACTAGCACAGCAAAAAGGGAATATTCCAAGTCTGAGTTGTCAACAGTATTGATAAGTTTAAGCTCCAGAGGGAAAACAACTCGATATGATAGCTTTTTGTAGCGACCAAGCTGTTCAATATACTTGAAGCGCTTGAGATGAATTACAAGAATGTTTGGTGGTTTCTTTATCTTCATTCTTTTCTGTGCTTCTTGCAAACTGAAATTACGAACAATTTCCATCACAGTCAATATGACAAACGATAGGAAAACGCATAGTTTTCGTTAACATTCAAGTCATGCTACATTTCCTAACCCAGACGCTTCAGGTGCTAGTGTTTGGTTTGTCAAGCAAAATAGGAAGAGATAATAACTGACGATTAGAGTTCAGATGCAGCTGAATTGAATCAACTAGATGACATTGATACCACATGAGAAAGCAACACAAAATCAAAGGGACTGACATACCTGCAGCATTTGTCACAGAAGAACTTATCCTCAGCATTCAGAGTCTCAGTCGAGCTGAAGTTTTTAAGACAGCTGGTAATTGAACTATTCTGTTCAATATCCAGACTTAGGTCAAAAAACGTTTCATCTCTATCAGTCACAGTCTCACATCTTAGACATCTTGTTTCATTAGTCAATATGCCCTACCAAAAAAGAAAAGAACAAGAGGGCTCATCTCCAATACTGTAGCAAGCACTAAAATTGGAGTGCACTTGCACATGCAAAAAAACATATTGGCAGAAACGGATAGAAACTCACCTGGAAGCATTTGTGGACCAAAGTAGGAACTGGTTCTTTTTTAGTACCATTGAGTTGAACATTTATAGGCCCGTTTGAATTCTTTTTCAAAGAGGAATTTTCACAAGGTTCTGCAACAACTTTAGATTCTTTCTCTAGGATGTCAACTAGCTCATTAAGCAAAAAATTCAGAAATTCATGTGCATCCTGTAAAATACAAATAGTATTTTCAGTCCATGGTGAGCTCCCGAGTATATAGATCAAAAAGATAATATCCACAAAAATAGTAAAGTACCATAGAATTGGCATAAATACACATATATTATAGGTATTCTACAATGCTTAAGTTAGCCAAACAACTCAGGATGCTATTGACAACTAAACAAAATAAAGATGGACTCTGAATAAAAGGACTGGGACCAAGCCAATTCTACACCATTAACAGTTTGCCATTTATAGTATCTCATCCTTATGTAGATACATCTTAAGTGCTATCTTGCAAATTCACATGTGGTCTATGAGGGATATCAAGATGGTCAGATTTAGATATACTCTTTTTTGGGGAATACCAGATTTAGATAGACTCAAGGCGGTGTTATCCCTTACACTTACACATGACCTCTCAGTATGCGAGGGGGTTAATGGAATATGTTCATTCATCCAGAACCTAAAGTACATGTAAAGTCTACTGCATACATATCACATCCAACATTCATATTCTCAGTTTGTAGGAGCACCTCATTCAGCCGGGCCCGGTAAAAAGAAGTTTGTAGAAGCACCTAAGATAGGCTTGTAGTAGGTATCCCTCCTACTTATTTTTAGGTTCTGTCAATCTAGAGTAAGCTGCTTATTGTAAATAATTAATATAGATACAATGGATTTAATGCTACACATCTATCCTACAAAACATCAAGAAGAAATGCACAGACCACAGAGTTGTTCACAAGTCACAACAACAAATTGTGCAGAAATCCGCCTGGGGCCAACTGACTTAATCCTAAGGGCCAGAGCAAGAGATCATAGCGTGATCACATTTTTGCTTAAAACCACAGAATAAACATTGGCAAATGCACCATTCAAAAAATGTTACCTGGTGCATATAGCTGCGAAAAATCTCATTTTGTTTCTTCAGTCGTTGTATGAAACGCTTAGGAGCGATAACACCTGTTTTCTTCTTCTGGTTGCTGATCTGCATGAGCAAAGGTCACAAATAATTATTTTTGTTACAGTACATCATGCACACAGCTCTTAGTGTACTCCAGTGCAGTCGTTTCCTCTTTATTTTTTTCTTTTTATTTTGTGGAATATAATTTAATCACTTCTATAAAACTGTAAAATTCTAAACAAGCAATAGGCCTCAGGTTAAAGGGAACTGCCCCACACAGACTTTTGGGCATTGCTCCAAAGTCCAAATGGATGAACTTGACAGAAGCTCCACTCTAAGATGCATTGCTCCAGAGTACAAATGGAAGAGAAGATCCACTCTAAGAGGTGTTTATCTTTTTTGAATTGTTAAACCATTCTCAAATCTCAAGGCTGCTTTCAAGGCCACATACCGCTCTGGTGCTACAATGTGCATAACTCTGCTATCTACTATCTTGGACATCACTATTAATAGATGGTAATTAGTTCAAGAAATATACATAGTGTACTAATGGTAGTGGTGGAAAACATGCGTAGTGGATGTAATCCCATGCTATTCAAGATACATGTGGATGTGATAAACTAAATGTTCAGATACATGATTTTTGTAAAACTTCTATATATTGGAGCATATGCAGAAAACTGAGGACAGCATAACAGTTATAACAATCAATAGCTGCAGTGGTACCTGAGAGAACAGGTCAGCTAAGCACGTTAACATATTGTCTTCGACATCTCCGGTGCTTTTATTATTTGCATAGTACTCCAGTAATTGCTCACGGAAAGGAACACAAAAGTAAAGTGCCTGCAACAGAACGAAACAATAATTAGGCCCATGACCTCAGGAATACATATAAATAAAATCAAGATAATATATATTATTATCTTCCTTATTGCAATGTTTCTGATTAAACCCCCCCCCCCCCTCTAAATTCCAAATAAACCTCCTACATATGAACCGAAGATCTGATCATTATGTCATACACCACGAGTAACCTCGATTCCCCATTGCCTAACGCAACTAGACGGATGTTATGAAACATGAAGGGGGTCAGCATCATCAGATAAACACAAAAAATTTCTCCACATAATCGCAACAATGACCTCGCAGAACCTCCACCATTCCCCAACCATCACGCGCACAAATCCCACACAGGACCGCGCCCTCTGATGCATCCATCACCGGATCACATTTTCCGCGCCACGATCCCGCGAAGATCGCATCTCTCCCAACCGCAGGCACGCATCATATACACAGCAAATCCCACAAACGGGGGAAAACTACGGCCATCCGCCTCCGGAGAGGGGTCCAACGATTTCCGGCGCCCCCCCCCCCCCCCCCCCGCTCGGCGCCATACCTGCAGGACGCTGTTGCAGTAGCAGGTGTTGCCGAAGTTCTCGAGGCCGAAGTAGCGCTCGCCCTCGGGGAACTGCTCGCCCAGCGCCTTCTCCAGCCTAGAGCTCGCCGCGCCCATCACCGCCGCCGCCGCCCGCGCCAGGCAGCTCCCATTTGCATGCCGGACTCCGGCCGGTCGATCGATCGCAGCACGGCCGCGCGCCGCGTTGCGAGGCAGAGGTGTCAGTATTGGTTTTCTCGTTGGGATCGGAGGTTGGAAGTTGGAACTGATCGGAGGAACGGATGGATGGTCAGGGGGAGGAAGGGAGAGTAGAGGGGGAAGGACCAGTAAAAGGCGTATTTCCGAGCTCCCGTGTCCGGGAATTCTGACGTGTATATATCTTTTCCTTTTTTGAGAAAGAAAAACCGACCTACTTCGTTATCTCTATCTCAATTCGACGGTAAAGATGTCGCCAATGGCTCGAGTCTTGAAAAGCTGATAGAAATTGCGGCCAAATATTTTGTTAAAGAGTGTGTTACTCCCTATAGAAAAGTTAGTATCGGTTATGACTTTTAACTGAGGCAGGTTCACAAAACCGAACCATTTCTAACCATGGAATGAAGGCGGGTTGTTTTTCTAGATTTCATGAAAAACTGTTGACTATCGAAGAAATCCAACTAAATTTTGTTGGAAGTTTAAAATCCAACTTGGATTCTTTTGAAATTGACTAAGAAATTGAGTGGTTTTTTTTCCAAGACGACCCAGGAATTTCTCTTTTTTTTTTTGCAAAAAATCATCTAGTTTTCATCGGTAATGTTACTCATATAAACCTTGGACCGAGGCACATGACTTTTGACTGTTATTTTTAATCCATATAAAATCGAATAGATTTGGATATAAGATATTAGTAAACTATTTTGATTATAAATATAGTGAAAAAACTACCAATTATAATCGATAATTACATCTAGTGTTCACCTAGACGCTAGACAGACGGTGACCCATGGTCTAGAGTTAGCCAGTCTAAACGATATACCGTACAATATATTGTCAACATCTTTTGACACACATGTATATACACTTAATATGTTCCATAAAATACTGAAGAACCAACGGTTTATGGCATAGAGCCACAGGCCGAAGAGAGGTGGGAGCAAGGTCCATGGTAGCGATTAGCAAAGAAGAGATGACATGACTTCATGTTTGTGAGTGGCTTAGAGTAGAGGGGAAAAGTTTGGAATGGGATCAAAAATATAAGCCATATGGGCCTTGGGCGGTGTACGAAGTTTCAACTCCTACCACACAAAAAATGCATTGATCCATTGCCCATACCATAGTCTAAATGGCAGTTTTACAGTCTACACTCATCTTAATTTTATCTAATTATATGGTCTAGACGATATATGACCATCTTTGACCGACTAAATGGTCAAACAGTCTAATTCATGGTTTATGCCCTAAACTAGACGATAATCCATCATCTGGATGTGGTATAGACTATAGTTGATCTAGACAAACACTGGTTACATCTGAATGGATGGAGTACCCTTTTCTTCACCTTTTTTTTGTGCGTATCTGCGAACATTATCATGCTGAAATAATTTGAAAATATGGAGGTTACTTTATACATGTTCAAACTAGCTCATATGATAAAGCTGAAATGCATATTGCCGCAAGCAGAACGCAACCTGATAGTGTAGCTCAAGTGCTCAACTGAATCGATTAGAGATGCTCCAAGCCTCCAACTCAGCAACATATGTAAGCAACTAAGCACTAAGTATAATAAACCATCAAGAATGCAAAATCAATAAGTTACAACACACGTCTTAAATAATTAAATATGGTCATGTCATATGGCAGGGCGAGGTGTTCCGATAAATCAATTGAATAAATCTATATACTCTGATGTACCCACTAAATTCCGCTTGTTGGGATAAGCCTACTGTTCAATGCTCATCCTTCTAATGTGCCTATCTATCTTTGACTAAGATCACAATTTCACTTTAACACTGGAACATCTACATAACTCTCTACAGGCCACCATGCTACTCAACAAATTTTCTTGGTTCCATCATCGGATGGAAAATCTTTATTGCTTTCTTCATCAGATGGAGGTGGCACACCAAATACCCAGTCAAGGACATTCAGGTACTTGGACCGAAAAACTTCTCTTTCTTGAGCATAGCAGTGCATGATGATCGACGTAGCCATACTGAATACCACCACGTCGGCTCGTTTTATCTGCAGAATTGGAGGGCAAAGTCCTGCATCGGTCATGCATGTGAAAAAACTCTCAATAGCTCTCGCGAAGCAGTACAGGGCTATCTCGATTCGCCTGCTCTTCTTCTCAATTAGCAGTGCCAGACCTGTGGGAAACTGTTGAAAGAGAATGGTTCAATAGTCCAAAGCTGATTATTATATACTGAATTCATGCGTCTGCATTTGCTTACCGTGGCAAGTACAACGAGTGGAGTATTGCAGCTCTGGAAGATTCTGAAAAGCAGGCACGTCCATGCCCTGAAACAGAGAAGGAAACATCCAGAATTGTCATCCCAAGAGAAAATTGTACTATCTAGATGTCTACTCTAAGAAGATAAACTCACCATGCAGAGGCACAGTACACTGAGAGGAACAGGCTTGATCTCGCTGTTCCTAGAAGATTCTTCCCTATTATTGGGTAAGGCCTGCATGTTATGAGGAATATAGCACATTTAGAGAAATCGGGCCTGTTGCAAAAACTAGACTAGGCAGCATGATAGCTTGCATAGATAGACAGAGTTTACACTATCAAGGGTACTCTTTCTAAACAGGTCAAACTTATCTGACACTGTTATTCTTACATGCACCGCAATTACCCTTGAGATATCAAGCTCAATTGATGAAGTGTACTTGTAAGACCAAATACCTTTTCAATAAATCCTGTCGATGAACTACAAGTGCAGGAACTAAATAGACCGGAACATAGACAGGTACTGCTCTTCCATATGCTTGAAACAAGAATGTAATAAAATGCCCTGCACATGATTGATTTCCATGCACAATCTGGATTAAAGAGAGAATACATTAGATCATGGAAATTTTCAGGTTAACAGACAGGATGATGCGCGTGCACACACAAAAAACAAAAAGAATTTTTTTACATAAAATTGATGTATGGATTATATGCGTGAATGTTGATACATGTAAAATATGATATGAACATGATTCAACCATAAGGAACAACATGATACTAAGACATTTGATTATTTGTTGCACTTACCGAGCAAGGGACTTTCATATTTGGATCTAACTTTAGGTCAACACCCACAGACTTGTAGTACTTCTCAATACCCGCTAGGTTAGAGAAAGCAGTGTGATTGACTACTTCTTTCACACCTTGCAGAATAGTAAGATCCTTCCCACCATGCTTATTTAGAAATGCTTTATAAGTTGATGGCAAACTTTCTTGACTTAAAATATAGGCAGATCTACATAAGAAAAAAATATTAGGCAAAAGTTACCCTCACACACTACCAAACATGCACCACAAAATGGTGAACAGCATATATACATGGTACTGACCGAAACCCATGTGACTCATGTTATATTTGATAATATAACAGATCAATTAATAAATTGTCATAGCAAGATAATAAGGAATTACTAATGATCAAGAAATCCTAGCGAATTCTTCATTATATAACAGTCTCAAATAATGCATTCTTTATATCCATATTAAAAAAATCCAGACTAAAGGATTTTAGACCATTTAAAAAACAAACTACATTCTGTTATCACATTTCGTACAGATGCTATACTAATTTCAAGCTTTGTACTATGTACTGTATATGAGTATCTCGTCCAAGGCTCCAAGCAACTCCATCCAATGGATAGCTGTCAGTACATTGAGTTATTGACAATAGGATCTAAGCAAAATCCAAACATACGACATGCACAACTACTACCTTCTACAGCCTAGATATTCATAGCAAATATGAGAGAACTTACAAAATTTGTGCAGATGAAAGGCACATAAGGAAGATGTCACCATGCGACCAAGTCAAAGGCTTGCAAATATTTCCAAATCTTTTGCTCTTTATTCCACAACGGGATGCAAGGACAGCTGCACGCATAAGAATGTATATTGCCAAGCTAGTATGTTGTGTGCCTGGCCCTGTCAAGAGCATCGAAGGACCAGCAATTAACCCAGCCAATAATGATCTCCACCTTGCTGTTCTGAAGTAGCAAGAGTATCCAGTTATACATTTTCAATTAAATACTGAATGGAAAAACAGGGGTAGTACAGTATAATGGAACAGCACACATTCTGAGGTGTAATGCTGAATTAAGAAGAAAAATACAGCCATTCAGCAGTTTGCTGAATTTGTATTCAGTGAAGGCTGACAGAACGCCAAGCAACACTGGAACATTTTAACCAAAGGCAAAGCCAATGTCCCGTTATAATATATTTGCTCAAATTATCGCAGATTTGGTAACCCATCATCTGATCTAGATACTAGTAGATGCTATCATGCAAATTTGGCAGCACAGTTCACCACCGGCCATCACCAAAGCTCTCATGTTTCCTAGCGAATAACAAGGAGAGGCAGAGGAGTACTAATTTCAAGCAACTGCAGGGCTTCAGCCAGCTGACCTCTTACGGCCCCAGATGCCGGCGATGCACTCGTCGACGGAGACGTAGCTTCCGGCGAAGGTCCCCAGGAACAAGCCGTACCTCACCGTCTCCTTCAGCGCTAGCACCACCGCCTCCTCGTTGGTCATGGCGCCCACCTTCCTGCACGCACCGCGCCACAGGAAACCGTAAGTCACATAAGCAGCCACTTCAGCTGGGGACAGCGGCAAAGCGAAAGCGAACGCCGACCTCGATCTGGGGGAGCGGCGGCGGCTGCGGAGGCGGACGAGCACGGAGAAGAGCGCGAGGCCGCCCTTGAGGCCCGCGCCGATGGCGAAGCCCTTCGCCGCCGCCTCCACGCACCGCCGCAGCCACCGGAGCTCGCCCTCCACCGCCGCCGGCACGGCGGGGAGGTAGTGGCCGGCGCGCGGGGTGCCCCCCGGCGAGGCCGCGGCGCACCCGCCGTTGGCAGCGCATTTGAGTTCCTCCGGCGAGGTGGGGGCCATGAGTTCGCCGGAGATGGGATCCCCCTCCGCGGAGTAAAGAGGAAGATGCCTGCCTCTGCAACTGCAACTGCAACGCTATGTGGCCCCTGGGCGCAAGTCGCGAGCGCAACGTGTGGAGAATTCGCCGAAATAGTAGTGGCTGCTTTGTGGGCCCCACCACCCTAACTGGACGTTTACCTCTCAATCTAACGCTGCAGGCTGCAGCCACGAGTCCATGACCATGACTGTCTTGTTCAACTTCAGCCTGCTAATTTAGTATTTTCTTTTCTTGTTTTTCTTAATATTATTTTGAGAATTTTATTTTCCTTGATGTAAGTTATATATATATATATATATATATATATATATATATATATATATATATATATATATATATATATATGATATATATAGGATATCTTCGTTAAAAGAACTCAAAATGACATTTCTGTTCTATAGAGAAGGATTTCGAGTAGAAGATACTACGAGGATTATGAGGTAGCACCACCGATTTAGTGTATGGTGCTTTCTATAATCAATAATATATGATGTTTTAGAAAAAAAATCTATAGGTTTGTTTGGTTTAATACCCTACCAAAAAATTGGTAGTGCCAGGCATTATTATCTTTAGTTGATGGCAGAAGCACCATCACCATTATTATCTTTTATACTATTATATAGGGCCGTTTTGGATTAATGCCAAAACGGTGCCCTACCAATTTTTTGGTAGGGTAGAGTTGTATTTGGTTGGAGACCAATTTAGAACCAGCTTTGAGTAGAATATAGAAAATATCAAACTAGACATTGACAATGCCAATGGTTTGGCTTCAAACCAAAACCACCATATACACTGTTCAAACTACCAAAATATTGGTAGGGCACCGTTTTGGCACTAATCCAAAACGGCCCTATATAATAGTATAAAAGATAATAATGGTGATGGTGCTTATGCCATCAACTAAACACTACTACATTTACATGTTTTACAAATTAGTTTTTATATATTTTTTAATATTATGTAGTCTAATATTCGTTTGAATCAAGTAAATAACATATATCCAAATAAATATGTACATTTTACTTATAGCAAAGCATATGTATTTTTCTAGTAAGTTTTAAAAACGTCATCTACCGGAGGGAGTATGATTTTACTCCCATACCTCCTAAAAACTTGTTGGGCACTGTTCATATCATAGTGTTAACCTCTCTTATTTTAGCAGTAGCTTATAAATATTAAAAAAATACTTATACTGTCAGAGTATGTTGCGCGTGCTTAAGTATAGCCATACGATTTCGTTTGAAAAATTGATAATTAAAAAACTAATAAGAGTTAAAATTAAAAATCTTATGGGTAGGGAAAGGAACATCTGGGAGAAGCTAGAAGCTGTCTGGAGTGCTGGACTGTTAGTCAATGCGCAAGATGATTGATCAGTTCAGAATAACCCAATTTTAGTTGAATCAATCGATCGTGCCCATGCTGTCATCAACGAAAGATTGATGCACGCGACAAGCAGGCGACACGCCCCTCGCGAGCGAGTTCCATAGTTATACGTCAATGTCGGATCCATTAAAAGGTGGCAAAAATGAGCAGGCGTAAGCTGATGGACGCGTGCCGATACATTCCCCAGTGATGATCTGGGAAAGAAAACCGAACAACCACGGAGAATTCATGCCATTCATTTGGCATTTTTCTATACAAATCTGTGGGCTGAGTGTGATTAGCGATCGCTGTCATGCAGAGACGTGAATAGCTCTTCAAAATACAGTACTCGTTGTTCTATACGTACTGTGCTTGTTTGGACAATTTGTTAGCTCAACGGCTTATCTACCAGACTACCACCAAAGTTTGTAATGATCTGCTTTTAATGCTTTTATTATACGTCCATGTCGGATACATTACAAGGTGTGGCGAAGTTTGATAGTTTTTTTGACCGTTTTGACCTAGGCGCAACAACACTGACGAAGTGACAACATGTTTCGCTTAGTAGATGCCCTATTAATGCATAAAATGCTTGCTAATATTGACCACTACATTTTCAGATTAGAAAATGCTACACATTATTAATGCATATACAGCTCCAGAAAATTATTGGAGGGTTGGAACCGTGCCGTCCCAACTCCCAAAACATGCTACGGGCAACAGTTTGATACGGACGCTGTCAGCCTGGACAACCGTTTGAACTCGAGACACCGTAGTCAAAACATAGCAAGGATTAAACATTTTTCCTTACACAAACTATCTGCAGATTCTAGACCTAGCTTCTCCAACTATCTGAAGCTTTTCACGAGCTACATCATTTTGATACATTTTACAGAAGAATTACTGTACAAAACGCATACAAAAATTATTGTACCAACCAAACTTCAAAACATACAAAAATTTAGCAATGCAACTACAGGTTATCGATTTGGTAATGCTATGTACAAAGACCTGGAAGTAATTTACAAGCGCATACACAAGACGTTAGATCCTAGAAATATCCAGGCGTTGGCATGTCGTCATCCCACAGTTCTTTGAATTCGCTCATCAAAAGGCCTTCATCCATCTCTGTCGACTCCTCGAGCATCTTTTCTTGCATAGCCTATTAGCAGTAAAGAATTCAGCAATCATTCCATGAATTGCCTGTCTAATTTTAGTTCAGTTGTCACTCTAATATTCCAAAACTGAAAGCATGATAGTACCTGGGATTCCTGCATTTTAGTTACCACCGTCAAAATCCTCTGGTACTGATCCCTGGCATCTGGGTATTGAACCATGGATTTCACTCTGGCAAGAGCTTTCTGTAGCCTTTCTTCAGTCTGCTTCCGTCCTTCTTGTAAGAAATCATAGTCATTCTCGGCAGGTCTGTTTTGGGTCACGTTGCCACTGCTGCTGCTAGTACTCTCTGTGACTGCATTTTCTGTGGGTCGAAACCCACGCAACCCAGCACCTCGTCGCCTCCAGCGCAATATAACCTTCTCCACTATCCCAACAGACCAAATTATTTTGCGATAATGCTTTCTCACTTGGTGACCTCGCACATGCGCCTAGCAAGCAGAAAATAACGACGACAAAGAAATCATCAATTATACTTATAGTGCTATAATACAGTCACAAAGCATGTAAGTGTTTGTTAAACATAATTATGTGATTCATATCCTCTACTGTGAAAAGAGGCTTCTCAATAAGGAAAAAACTCACATTCAATTTAATAACTAAGTATAATTTCTTATGGTTCATCAAAGCTAAAATAGAATTCGGTAGCAGAAGATCTTTAAAACACTGGCAATCTTGTCTAAAACATTAATCTGGAGCTTTCAGAATACATAAAACATTTAGGTGAATTATCATCATACAATAACATCCATACCTGGATCTTGACGATTCGCTGTCTAATAAGCAGAAATTCTTTTCTTCCCTTCCATCCACGGAACTTGTTTTGTATTCGAGTCGCAGCAGCATGCAGAGGATCAAGCTGTGCAGGTTTGGATGGTTTAGCAGACAAGAGTGACATGGCACGCTCATCTGATATCGCACCATTTTCATCCTCATACTGAACTGCTTGTTTTCTCTGGAAGGATTGCATCCTAAAAACTTGGTATATCCGGGCAGCAGCTTGGGCGGCATTACGAACAGCACCTAGTGAATCTCCCATAGATCCAGTCTGATGGCCTTCAACTGCCAAAGGCGAGGCGCTTCTATCAGCAACATTTACAATGCCAGGTAGACCAGATATTTCTCCTGCACTGCTACGCATGGCTTCCTTTAGATTGAGAGTCTGCAGATGACTTGTTAAAGAAGACTCTGCTAGGAAACCAGAGATTCCCTTGTGTCCGTTGGCTGATGCAAGATCAGCTGGTGTGCTTCCTGAAGGGAAACTTGGTGTTGGGTCTGTTACAGCTCCAGGAGCTGCACCTAGTGCTATAAGTGCAACGACTGTCCGCTCTCTGCACAACAGGTCAAACAAGTTTAATACATATAAAGCTAATAAATAAATAAATAAATAAATAAACTCTGAGCAATTACCTTCCACAAAATGCAGCCCAGTGGAGTGCAGTCCATCCATGAGCATCTCTGAAGTTTATATTCACACCAGCAGCTATTGTTGGTCTTATTGCCCAATCGTACCCTAGGGCAGCTGCCAAATGAAGCACACCCTGCCCCTCCTCATCTAACATACTGGGACCTTTGCCTCCATCCCCTACTTTATGGAGAAGCCAGATATGCAATTTTTCCTTAATGCGGTTTTGAAGGAACTGATCTTGCTTATCATCTGTGGCAGGCTCATTATCATCAGCCAACTTTAGCAACTCAGACCAATCATCATTGTTCATCATCAATGAACTTATCTTCTTGCTCAAATCAATAATCTCCTTCGTGGGGTTAGACAGAGTTGTCTGGATCTCATCCTGCTCCACAGACAATAGTTTATCAAGACGCTTCTGGAGATATATTTTGTTTGTAGAACCAAGTGGACTTGGAGCATCCATGTACTGAGGTCGGAAATCAAACTCCCGTACTTCACTGCAGGCCAATCTATTGGAGCAAGTCACATAGAAAGGGACCCTGCCAGGCTTGTGTGAGGGAGAATGACATACAAGAGTATCATCTGCTATAATCTCAGCTGGGACTTCAAATTCTCCAAACATGCATGACCATTTTAATCTCTTAACTTCATCAGAACTTAAGAAATTACCTTTAATAAATACCTACAGTATACGAGAAATTCGTAAGCAACAGTAAATTCACTCTGAGCTACAAGGACAATCCGATGACACTACCAAGACCTCCAATCTCAAAGGCATCTTGCGTCAAAAAAAATAAATCTCAAAAGGCACCAATGGTGGGTTTTCAGAAGACATACCCTAGTCTTTGAACCTGCATATGTCCAGGTTGGAGAAAAATCAACTATAGTAAACAGCTGATCTTGTGCAAGCACTGGTCCCAGAGTATACTGATCACTGCTTGATGCTTCAATGATATTGTCAGCTTCTTCACTGTTCCAGTACACTCCAGAACTAGATGTGATTTGAGAATCATCTACTTCAGCAAGCTCTTTGCTCATCCATCTAGTGAAACTGTCATTTTTCTTAAAACTGTCCTTTATGATATCAGAAAGACTAGATGATTGAGTTTTCAAGAGAGGGTAATTAATGGCTTCCTCCAAAGTTTTATCATTTTGTTGAAAGCTGTCCGCTGTAGCAAATGTACCACTTGCATTTGGAATCTGAAATTCAGTAGCTTCTCAGTTATGTACCAAAACCAAAAAGAATCCTGACAAAATATTATATATATATATATATATAGTACAATACTAGTAAGATGAAACTCATGAAGCTGCAATTAAGTGCAGTATGCAAAACAATCAACAATATAAACTTGCGAAGATCTCAAGTGCTAGCAAGACAACAAAGAGAAGTAGTTTTATCCATCAAAAAACAAAACCAGGCGCTCGCTTATAAAGATATATACACATATATATGCCAATTGGAAGACCCTAAAATCCGTAGCTATGTCCAGTATAAACCAGACAATACCATAAGTCCATTCCAGACTTTAAACCTGAACAAATCATGGACCTGGGCTACATCTCTACAGTTTGTTAGCTGTGCAATATCTCTTTAACATCATAATTTTGCACCTTTTCCCTATACTTTCATCTAATTTTACCTTGTGAATACGTCATTTTTGTCTTAAAACATTCAAGGTTCAATATGGGAATTTTGAGGAACAACAGTAGTTAATCGCAATAGTAAAAACAATATGTAAGACTCTTGACATTATTAAACTTCAATAGTATTCATCGAGTACATAATTATGGGTTATTCGATTGTGTTCAGTTGTTCACTTGTCAAGTACTACCTCCGTTTTTTAATAGATGACGCCGTTGACTTTTTCTCACATGTTTGGCCATTCGTCTTATTCAAAATTTTTTTGCAAATGTATAAGATATAAATCACACTTAAAGTATTATGAGTGATAAAACAACTCATAACAAAATAAATTATAATTACGTAAATTTTTTGAATAAGACGAATGGTCAAACATGTGAGAAAAAGTCAACGGCGTCATCTATTAAAAAACGGAGGGAGTACTTGTCCAAATCCATCCAGGCAATGGTAAACTCCATTTCACAAACAAAGGTTCTCAAAACACAACTTGGCGTAACCAAATAAACATATTTTAACACACTCCAGCCAGGCATATTTTTAATAAGAAAATCATTATAAAACTTCGAGCAATTCTTTGTTTTTTTCTCAATGGATATGGAGTTTCCTACCAAAATGACAACATATTTAAAAGGTTTGACTCTTTTTTTCTCTTACTGAAGGGCAGCTGCTACTGTTGTCAATACTTGTATTCAAATAACATCTACCAATATGGCTATGCCTTTTTACCACGAGAGAGCTTTTGTATTTGCAATACATAAATGCATGCACAATACCTGCCATGGAGTTTCTCCATCTGTATCATCACCATCTACATCCTTGATACTCAGTCCATTGTTGTATACTTCATCAAATGTGAAAGATTCAATTCCTGGGCCTCCTGTAAAAGGAGACTGTTCGGAGGGAACAGGAGCTTGGTAAAGAGGAATTTGATGGGTCCCTTTGTCAGGTTTCATTGCTTCAATCCATAATGATAGATCAAACTGACTATTAGGGCCATTAAATGCAGTCCCAAGGTCTGACTCGTTAAGAACCACGGGTAAGTTATCTTGACCATGAGAATAGAAGCCTGTATTAGGTGCTGTAGCCTGTAATCCTTGATAACTGCCTGAACATTTTTTAAAAAATATAAATTTATAAAATCTTACATGTATATTCAACTTAGGTTCATAATGAGAAGATTATACTTAATGCCACTTGCCTACAGATGACGCAGGAACATAAGAGCTGAATATAGAATCATCAATCACAGATCCACCTCCATTTTCATGCTGCCGCATCCGAGAGAAAGAGTTGTATCTGGCTCCTCCCGAATAAATATCTGCTGCACCGAATTTTGCTTTAGATATGCTGTGTATAGTTGGAATATGTATCAGTGAAACTATTTTAATGGACTTTATGCAGAACAGAAGGAGGTGGCTAAACAGCTCTACCTGATTCTGTTTCATCATATTCAGAGGCCTGTCCGCTAACTGAGCTTTCTCCTTCGGTAGTTTGTGAAGGCAATTGACTTAAAGGGCTATCCGCATGAGATGCTTGCAGTACATCATCATGTCCCGTACTACGAGAGCTTAATTTTCCAGCCTGATGGTCATACCCATATATGTGCAGGAAATGAAACTTCAGCTTATAGATGAAAGAAAATAAACGTGAAGACAACAAAGAAATTAGGTAACCAAGGTAGAAAAAAGCAAGCAAGAGCGTTAAATCTACCACTAAATCCAACACAAACAGAGGGTTTCCATAATAGGTCCTCAAATGTAAATTAAACAATGTTAAATGTTAATATAGAATATTTAATATGTTTATCATAAGATATATTATACATATGGTGCCCTCCTGAGACTAGTTAAAAAATATACAACTGGACAATGTTCTTTAAAAATTGATGGTACCATATCTAACATTATTAGTTAATTTTACTAAAAGACTTGCTGCTGTTTTAAAAAATATTGTCTGTTTTCAATATTCACCACACTATTAATAATATCAGAAGGGAACATCTAGGACTAACTTAACATATCATGGTGCTAAAGCAGTTCTGTAACTGCCATATATGTTGTTTAGCTACTGGTTTAACATAAAAATATCACCAAACACGTGGGTCCAGTGAAATGTGGATCACAAACAATTTTGTATAGCATCAAAAGCCAGCTATCAATCAACATGATGAGGTAGTTTTACGAGAAAATCGATAATACTATTAAACAATTTACTTTATATGAAGCTTTCCACTCCTATAAGAGATGTATATAAGATTTAAATTCAAATATAAGATGAACAGATAACTAAATAAACTGCAATCATAGCAGGATTAGGTGCAACCTTGACTTCCAGATAATGTACAAGTACAATGTGCATGTAATCCCTGAAAAACAAAAAAAATGATTATATATCAACTAATTGTTTTTTGTGTCATCGTGCATGCATATAAGCTGCATTATGAACACATGCTATTAGTTACTTGTTATTGTGCCTTTGAGCAGCAGATGCACAGAGTAGTACAAAAGCAAAATAATTGATCAACAATAGTTCACTTACTCCTCCAACATCCAATAACTCCTCCTTTGGAAATTTATATTCTCCTCCCCATGAGCATAGTAGCAATGAAGCACATCAATGCTTCCAGACTAAATTTATAAATAAAAAAGTCATTATCTTAATATACAAAGAGTACTGGACTGCCAGTATAGAAACCCTTTAAAACAAATGCTGTAAGGTACTATCGCAGAAGAAATTTGTAATACTAATTTTTTTACTTACCTTTAACCTTTCATGGGCTTCTTTGACTGTCTTTCCATCTCTTTTCTTCCTCCAATTATGACCGTCCTTCCTGAAATATCTCAGGACCTTCCGATCAAACAAGAAAAGTGAACCACCTAAAGCCATGGATACAAAATATTAGTAAGATACAAAAAAACAAAAACAAAGCCTTAAACTGATTACTTATAGACACTTTATCAAATCCTTTGTGTACGTAATTGAGGCAATCACAGGTGTTGAGAGTGAAGACAGTAGTAAATCAAATGTGCAAACCACAAAATCATAACTGATCAAAAGGGGATTGATTAAAGGAAAAGAGCATAGTGTAATTGAAAGATTAAAGGATGGTAAGTTGATAACACAAGGGGCCAGGAAATACAATTAAAAAATGAGAAGGTGTATAGGCTTTTGATCAAGTGGCAAATGTTTTATGTTTGGGCAGGGTAGCATGATAACTGAAAATCACACACCCACGTTTTATGTTCTTAAACAGCATAGTACAAGTTAACGAATGAACCCGCCAAAAACAACATAGTTAGGTCAGGGGTATATGTCAACTGCTTAAAAATAATAAACATGCGACTTTTGTGACAAAAAATTATAAGACAACAGTACTCGTGGAGATCATACTTGGAGGCCTATTTGGAGGTTCAGGAGCAATACGGAAACTCCTGTAATTCTTAAGTATTTCACAAATTTCAGTCGGACGTAACCATCGGCGTTGAGCCTCCTTCAGTATCTGCTCAATATCTGTTTAGAAGTCGATGAAATGCAGAGTTAGACAACCGAATATATTTGTAAATGAGAAAGAATTACGCCCTTTTTTTTCAAATTACTACGCATCTAAGCCAACTTTTAGGTCCAAGCCCATCTCCAGAACACAAATACAATTCCCAATCCTTTAGAGCAGTTGCAACAGTTCCCGATCACTCCAGAGTCCAGAACGCTCAGTCTTAGAGACCGGACCGGAATCTCTGCTTTGCATCATCACCTCAACTCCTGTGGCCACCAAAAACTCCGTACAATTCCGACAGAGGAACACGAAAAATTCCGACGAACTCCCCAAGTTTCCAACCACCCACGCAATCAGTAGACTCCAAACCCAAATTCCAAATCCCGCGCCGAACGAACAGGGCCAACAAAACTCCCAGCTCCACCGGCTTCCGCGCCACAAACTCCACCACCCGGAACGCAACCGGAGTACTAGGAAACTAACCAAAACAAAGACCGAGGCGTTGACCAAAGCCAGCCGCTTCGTAAATCCACCAATCAAACCACAGAACGCACGCAGATGAGCACAAACCGGGGGAAGAAAAAGGAAAATCTCAGAGCCCACAAAGACCGGCCCTCACCTAGCTGCGGCGCGATCGCGTAGCGCCGCCCCTCCGCCATCGCGAACAACCCGCCCGCCCGCGCGCGCGCCGGCCAGCAGATTCACCGCTCCTCCTCCTCCTCCCGGATCGCGAGCGGGCTCCCACCACCTCCCTTTCCCCGGCGATCCGGGGCGAGATTTCGCGGGGGGTTTTGTGCGGGGGTTCGACGCGAGAGACGGTAGGTGGCGGTGTTGCTTGGGGGGGCGAGGCGAGAGGGAGAACAATTGGACACCGCACGCATCATCGGCGGGCAAAGCGGCTACTAGAAGGAAGGAAGAGGGAGAGTTTGGGCGAAATGGCGGTTTCGCCCCCCGCGAGAAATGGGACGATCTGGGCCGTCCGTTTCGGTTGGTGAGTGAGGCCGAAGACGACGTGGACGGTTGATGGAGGCGCCAAAAGGGTTTCAACGGCGAGCTCTGCCAGTTAAGCTCTCCTGTCTATTCCGAAACCGTGCCAGATAATTGCTTTCACATGATATACTTTCTCATGTGTTTGTGCTAACTACACAAACACAAGCTAATGAGGAAAAGTCTAACACCAAATCAACCATCACAAAGTGTGTTTATTGACAGAAGCGACGTAAACCACTTCCATTATTATGGAAAAATAATATTCCGGTTGGATCTTATGAAACTTTCTTACAAAAAGGCACAGTAAATCTTATGAAATTTATGCGTTCCACACAATGCCTAGTTTTGCATTTTCTGCATTTGGATAGTATCCTAGATCTTTTCTGCTTTCAAATTTAGAAACCCTTATTTTGACGGCGCATCAGCCCTAGTTCCTGGCCAAACACACAATCAGTAATTATCTAAAGCGCTGGGGGAGAAAACCGGACTTGTTCAAATTTAGGACATGTTTAGTTCCCAAACAAAATTTTCCACGCTGTCGCACCGAATGTTTGAACACATATATGAGATATTAAATGTAGAAAAAAAACAATCACATAGTTCGCCAGAAAATTGCGAGACGAATCTTTTAAGCCTAATTATGTCAGGATTTGATAATGTGGTGCTACATTAAATATTTGCTAATGACAGATTAATTAGCTTAATAAATTCGTCTCGCGGTTTTCTGGCAGAATCTGTAATTTGTTTTGTTATTAGACTACATTTAATAATTCAAATGTGTGTCCATATATCTGATGTGATATGTATGGGCAAAATTTTTTGCCAATTAAACAAGCCCTTGGATTGAGACTATTTGCTTATTCAATGCAAAATAGACTATCAATTCGTTAAAAAGAAAGATTAGCATGGCCCAAGAAGGCATAATTCCCCAGAATCTTCAGATGGTCCAGATCCCACAACGATAGCGCTTCGTGCGGGCGCACATAGTACATATCCATGCTATTCCTCGGTCCTTCGCCGCTGTCGCCGTCCGGTCGCGGTCTCGCCCACGCCTCGCCTCACCCGGTGGGCGCCTGCCGCACGCCGGCCTCACCGTCTCACTTTACGCTTGCTCCGCCCCCAATGGCCTCATCGGCACATCGCTAATATGAATATCTGACCACCTGACCACCTGACCACCCCTGCTGCCAACTTTAGGCCTTTCTTAGATCCAGAATATTTTGGCCAAAAACATTACATCAAATATTTGTACATATATATGAAACATTAAATATAGAAAAAAAAACCAATTACACAGTTTACATGTAAATTACGAGACGAATCTGTTGAATCTAATTACGTCATGATTTGACAATGTGATATACAGTAAACATTTACTAGTGATGGATTAATTATGTTTAATAAATTCGTCTTGCAGTTTACAGGCAGAATCTGTAATTTTTTTTATCATTAGTCTCTATTTAATACTTCAAATGTGTGTTTGTATACTTAAAAACTTAAAAAAAAAAGACCAGACACACCTTTAACTTTCGTGGCCACACCTGTGATTAGTCCCCACCAACCATCGATCCATCATGTTAGGGAGGCTAATATTCTATTCTCACCACCACCAGCTCCTTATCGCTTAGGCTCCTTTCGTTTCCTCCCTTTCCCAACCTTCCTCTCATATTTTTCGCGTGCACGTTTTTTAAATTGTTAAACAATACGTTTGTTAAAAAAATATATTAGAAAGTTGCTTAAAAACATATTAATCTATTTTATAAAAAAATTAGCAAATACTTAATTAATTATATAATAATATGTGCTTTGTTTTGCCTATTATTTTCGCCTTTCTAAAGGATCTTTCAGTCCGTGAAAGTTGGAGAGGAGAAAGCAGTTGCTTGCGGATGGAGTAGTTAAGATGGGGGATGTGATCATCTCATCCGGGGACTAGTAGTAATCTACATGTCGTTTTGAGTTCGTGGTTCGGCAGATTGCAATTTGCAACCACTAATTAAGCAGCATCCAGCAGTCCAGCTTTTTTACTCAGCGTCTTGAAAAGATTAGAGATTAGGGACGGATGGTTGGAAGGTGAGCATCATGCGGCAGTAGCCCGCATGTAGAGTTGTGCGACAGCTTACGGAGACTCTGCGCCTAATATCCTCGTCTTTCTTCAGCTTTTTCTTGCCTCTACAGGCTACAGCTCTTCCCTCGGCACTGCTCACAATCTCACGTACTATTTCCGTTTAAAAAAAAAGACAAACCCAGGTTTCCGTGTCTAACGTTTGACCGTCCGTCTTATTTGAAAAATTATGAAAAAAAATTAAAAAAACAAGTCACGCATAAAATATTAATCATATCTTATCATCTAACAACAATAAAAATACGAATTATAAAAAAAATTTATATAAGACGGACAGTCAAAATTGAATACGGAAATCCATGATTTGACTTTTTTTTGGGACGGAGGGAGTAGTACTCCAGTAACATTGTACTGCCTCACATGTCACCATGAAGCCAGGAGCAGGGTGAAGTTGCCAGCATGCTGCTAGGCAACACCAAGTACTCAGCAGTCAGAACTCGGAAGGAGCTTTTCGAGTGCTCGCCGACAAGGGCTTGGCAAAACAATCCATGGGGCTGGCTGGGTCTGGCCTATATTGGATAGAAGCGATCAAAAGCATATGCCGACGCTGCCCAACCGTCTGATTTGTGATGGCCCGTCCATATCACGAAACTGCAGGTTATACCCTACGTGCATCAATGCACTTGTGCAATCATATGCCTGTTTATAGTTGAACACCGGATGTGACTCCAGGAAGTCCGCGTCCAAGGATGGGACACAGGCAGAAGTACAAACTCCCAGAACCGCCTACCTCAATAATCAGATGTCTAACTCCATGTTCCAGTAGTGTAGTACTACACTTTCTTTGAGCCGAAGAGAGAGAGTGCTTGTTTAGTTCCCAACTTTTTCTTTAAACTTTCAACTTTTTCATCATATCAAAATTTTCCTACACACATAAACTTTCAATTTTTTTCTTCAAACTTCCAATTTTAGTCAAACTTCTAATTTTGGTGTGGAACTAAACACAACCAGAGTCTCGCTACTGTGCTCTCTATTGATAGAAAACAATTTAAACCATATATCTAGTTTTAGCGGGACTCTTAGAGAAATGGCAGACCATAACATTGTTTGTTACTACTACAACAGCAATGCAGTGAACTGCTGCAACACCAATATCACATTTCGAGGATATGATAGAGCAAAGAAATTACACATATAGGCCCTGTTTGGATCCGGAGGGCTATTAAATAGCTCTCCGGAATCTTACTATTTAGGAGTATTAAACGTAGATTACTAATAAAACCCATTCCATAACCCCTAGGCTATTTTGTGAGACGAATCTAACGAGGTATATTAATACATGATTTGCTACAGTAATCAGCCGCTAATCATGGATTAATATACATCATTAGATTCGTCTTGCAAAATAGCCTAGGGGTTATGGAATCGGTTTTGTCGGTAATCTACGTTTAATACTCCTAAATAGCAAGATTCTGGAGAGTTATTTAATAGCTCGGAGGATCCAAACAAGCGCATAGATGCAAATCAATCATCCCGGACGTCAAATTCAAACCAACCGATGCCATGCTTGCAAAAGGGAATCAACATGCCACTTTGTAGGTTGTAGCAAGTAGCAAACCCACTTTCCTTTCCAGTCGATGCATCAATACATCAAAAATGAAAAGTTGAAAATTTGTTAATTGAAATCTGAAGGGCAAGAAGCCCATATGTTTTTGCTATGACAGATCAATCTGCAACAGATCGGTGATCGAATCAGATGTCGAACAAGACCTCATCGTGTATAAGGTAATCTTGTGGTGAAAAGCTTCGAGCGAACAATGCTTCAGGCTTTGGCCAAGATAAAGTTACTCCCACGGCCTTTGAAGCTTCCGTGAAGAAATGCTACAAAAACAGATCTAAATGCGCTGTTTACTTGAATTTTGTCAAGGTAATGTGAGCTGGGCTTCTTGAACTTGATGTGCATGCTCAAGAATTAATTTGCATTCATTCCACTTTCAGGACTATCTTCATTAACTCATATACGAAATAACTGATAGACGCTGATGGCAGAACCTGTAGAGGAGAAAGAAGACCAGTTACATCAGATAATCTGAAACAGTGTTCAAAATTTCCTGTGTCCATTGGAATACAAATAGCTACAGGTTACCAAAAGAATCAGGCAAGCAAAGCAAAATAGGGCAAAGCTTTATCACACAGAAGGAATATTGAATGGATTGGTTCTTGTACTAATCTCACTGCGTCCTTAACAGAAACCATAACCATTTTAGGCTTTATCAATGTCATGTGAATATTATCAATATTCAACTAAGTAATTTCCCGATTCCCTGAAAGAACTCCTGGATTTTAAATGGGCAACGATGAGATAAAGCACAAACCTAGTATCTGTTGTATGCACGTGTCAATCAAATGATGGATTTATAGATTTTGCTCCTAAATATACATGCAAGCAGACTATCTGACATGAGAGAGTGTACCTGTAGCAAGCTGGGGATCAAGCCAGCATAGAGTGCTGGTACTCCACCTTGATCAACAATTTTAAGGCATGTTGCAAAAGCATTCATCCTTGTTGCTTTGACTTGCATCTGTAGCTGTCTCCTAACTACTTCAAATGGGTATGTGGCTGCTTCAGCACAGCAACCAGCAATAGCACCATATAGTAAGGTCCTAACTGTGCCCAACTCAAGCTGATCTAATGCATTTGCCTCTTGACCTTGTTGTTTCATCGTTGATACCCTCCTCTTCCCTTCGGGGGAATGCAGGTAGCCCATCTTCAATATGTCATATACTCCATAGAATACAGCACCAGAGGGTGCCATGCTGATGAGTGAAGGTACCAATCCTTTGTACAGAGAGAAGAACCCTTCAGTCTGGATCATGTGGCGGGCAACACCAATAACTCCTCCTAAGGCTTCACCACCAGGAGCTACCATCCTTGTCCTAATCTGAAATCATCAGCTCAATAACTTATTGGAGAAAAATGGCACCAAGGAAATTGAAAGGTCATTCAGAATCCAAAAGGTAATTTAAAATAAACATACCGTATCCATTGGTATACACAATATCGTTGCTGTAACACCAGCAGCAGCACCAGCGATAAACCTTTCAAAGTTTGTTGTTTCATCATTGCCAGACCATTTGAGCAACTGCTTTCTGTAAGTGTCATATGCATAGAAGTTGACGGCTTTGAATGGAGCAGTACGGAGAATGTTGACGAAGTTTCCTTTCCAAAAGCCTTTCAAACCCTGTGTTGTTGCAATGGCATGGATAAGCTCAAATAGATTTCTCTGCTCAGCACGAACTATGTACTCCAACTTTAGCCTCTCGAGGGGAGCAACAACTGTTCTGCAAGATATAGAAAAAATTAGGAAGCTAATGCCTGAATAGCAGTGATGGCAATATTCATTCACTTCGTATATTACTTATTGTAATTTCAGCTCTTGGTAGCAGGCTGATTTCAGTAAAAAAAAAAGCTTGAAACTGTCCAGGTTCTGGAAAACATTTAAGTCAGTATTTTCCAGATTTTCCTTTCATTTCTATTATGTTGAAGGTTATGTGTTTAGTGTTTCTAGCATTTTAATTGCAAAAATCATCACCTATCAAGAATCCACCATGATTGAGTAAAAAATGTCTAAACATCAACCAGGAGTAACAAGAACCGGTTGCCAGTAGCCAACCAGTTTCTTATAGTAGAACTAGTCAAGTGGCAAGCTCTATCAAAGACAGAAAGGGTCAGAACCAAATCAAATAAATTCTTTTGATCAGTTACAAAGGTTGCACCAGTTAGATGCGGTCAAGTTAAATTTCAAAATAGGATAGAATTGCAATTACACAAAATTGTTGATCTCTGAAGAGTACAGTACTCCTTTATTCATGAGGCCTAAAGTGCCAATTGCAATTGCTAGGCAGACAACCAACTGAACCATGTAACTTTGATCTTAACCAAAACAGTTTGAGTTTTCATGTTTCTACCATGTTCATGATCATATTTTGGTCTGTGATATGCAAGGATATAAAGCCTACCTGTGATAAAAGAAAGAACGGGAGCATAATCTAAGCAGGATGGGGATCCAGTTGCATCAAACTTCAAAAAAAATAAGTGGAATTCCAGCTTCAGCTCACAAAGTAAATGTAGTGCTGTGTACAGTGAGCACAACTAAATTGACAACGGTATTACAGATTTACAGTTACAGAGACATTATAAGTTGAGTGTATTTTCAGCAAACTTAAGCTCCATTTTAACTGCGGAAGTGATACTATACTTCTCTACCAATCTACTAAACAATGTAATTCCAAATGCAAGTATCTAATGAAGTTCATACGTCAGAGCATAGCAATACAAAGCGGCAATACCTAGATACCATAGCAGCAACGGCTCCAGACCATAAATGTTTCGTCATGTTCATGGCGCCCGCACCAGCACGAGCCTCCTTCACCTCCTCGACCACCTTCCCCTCCGACGCCTCCGCCACCTCCTCCTCCGTCGCCCTCCTCCCCGCGACCAGCGCCTCCGCCTCCTCCGCCCGGGCGCCCTTCTCCTCCCCGCTCGCGAGCAGCCCCACCGGGCCACTCACGAACCCCCTGCCCCCTTTCACCGACATCGTCAGCGACACGAACCCCGGCCGCCGCTGCCGCACGCCGAACGACGCGGAGATGCCGGGCATCGCCGCGAGGAGCGCGCCGTGCGCCGCCTCGCCGTCGAGGAACAGCCCCGCCGCCATCCCCTCTCCTCCTCCCCCCGAGCCCGCGGGGGGCAGCCACATCTCCAGCCACGGCATGGCGAGCGACCCTCGCGTCCCACAGCCACCACTACAGTCTACAGGCCGCCGCCGCCGCCGCCGCAGCACCCCGAGCTAGGGTTCGCGGGGCGAAGCATCGGTTTTATCGACAGCGCACGAACTGAATCGGAGCAGGACGCAGCAGCGGAATGGAACAAAACAATTTGCCCACGATTCGATTCACCGAACCGCACCCGCCGCCGGCTGCTTGGATTTGGACGGGGGAATGGGGCGGGCAAGCGGATGCAGATTCGTGGCCGTATTCTCGTCTCCTCGCTCTTGCGATTCGCGATGAAATTGTTGGTGGCGGCTGTGCTAGCTTGCTTGGATCCTGCCGCCCCGGGGGCAGGAAATGCCAGCCAACGAGGTTGCACGAGGTGGATTATTTTTTTCGAAAGAAAAAAAATAAATTTTATTTTTTCCCCTCTACATATTCTCTCCCCTCTCTGGATCACTCGTTTGTTTATTCAGTCAAGTGGAGTCTGGAGTTTCAGAAAAAAATTGTACTTATTTTCCCATGCACGATGGGGTATTCGTGTACGTGTCAAATGGAGAGAAACTTCTCAAACTGCAACAGTTGAAATTTGCCAAATCGCTGTGGACTCTAACTAGTAGGAGTAAAACTGGAAAATGTGTTGAGTTCTCTCAACGCTTTAGAATACGTAGTTTGCTGAAGCGTGCAGGCGCTGCTCACAGAGGGGGGCACCGTGCCAAAGTGAGATGGCGTTTGGGCGTTGGCAAAGCAGAATATTTGTGGCGCGCACACGGCGACGCGCCAGGAATTGTCGCAACTCGCAAGTCAGTGGCCAAGCAACGAGAACTTGGAGAGAATCCCCTAGTTGCGAATTTGCGATGCCCGTATTTGGGCTGGACATATAGAATCTGATGCGGTTTAATGGATCAAAACCAGTGATCCTCGTCAAATTGTTGGAACAACATTCTGTTATTCAAAAAAAAGAAAGAAAAAACGAACACCTTTGATCGAGCTACTGTCATACTCCTACATGACACACTAGTGTCATTACTACTGACACAAAAACTACAGATATTTCCTCTGGCCGACAACAGCTGAAAGCATGAGGCTGAAACATGGCCGAGTTTAGCTCTGAACTTTTCTTCAAACTTCTAACTTTTTCATCACATCAAATTTTTCCTACACATACAAACGTCCAACTTTTCATATCATTTTAATTTTAACCAAATTTTTAATTTTGGTGTGAACTAAACGCACCCTGACGAATGCAGATTTGCAGTCCTTTGCAGATAATATGCGTGCGCCGATCGCCAACAGCGCCGGAGCGTTGCCCGGCGGGAGGGCGGCGGCCAATTTAATTCCGGCGTTACTCCACTAAAATTAATTAAGCAATAATTCCAGTCATACTACTGCTACCTAGCTACTCCAAGTTAAGTTTACAATAAATATTTTTATCTACCTCACCTAGAACTATATACTGCATTCTGCTTGGACCCCCACCACCCTCATTAAGTTTGTTCGCTCTCATGGAATTAAGGCCCTAATAACTAGACCCTCATCGTTCATAACTGCTACTAACTCTGATCGTCTCTGCTCCAAATTCCCCAAAGGTGAAACACGAACCTGAACATGTCATGCTCAATCATTCGAGAGTGTCGTAAAAGTTTCCATTCACATACTATGGCTTGAAACCCGTTTTACTTAAACTTACAAGTTTGTGAGGGTGACGTATTATATATGAATTTATCTTATCATTTTTTTTAAAAAATATTTCATAACTATTTAGTTGACATGCAACAAATAAATAGATATCAATTAGGTGATTCAAAGTGTTTCCCATTTTATTATCCGGCAGGATACGTGCAGGACTAGATGACTAGATCAACTTCACTTCTTGTTTACTCTGCACGTAAAATATTTATTATCAAAGAAAGTGCATGTATCTGACTAGACCATTCACTAAATATTGTCATAAATATCTGTAGCGCCCGTTCCGTCGTGGCGCCTAGCGGGAAAACTATCTCTTAAAAACCCTAATTGCGAAATCTGTTTCTTTACTTGTTGTCTAGTGTCCGTGCCATCTTAGATCTCAAATCTCCGATCTATCGTCAAATTCAATCCCGAATCCAAATCTTTCCCAAATCAAATCCCTCCGCAAAAGTCTATTTCGCCTCCCTCAGGTTCGATGGGCCGAATTCCTCTCGGCCCATCTCCCCCTCCCTCCCCATCTCTCTCTCTCTCCCTCTCCCCCGCTCTGCCCGTGCGTTGCACACGCGTGCGCGTGAGCCGCGCCGAGCCGAGCGCCCTCCGCCCTCGCTGCCGCTTTCCGCCGACGCCGCACAAATCGCCGCGCCGCCCGTTGCTTCCCACGCACGCGCGCGCCGTGGTGGCCGACCGCCTGGTGCCGCCGCCGTCAGCCTCTGCCGCGCCTGCCGTCCGTGTCGCCGCTCCGCTCCACACCGCCCCCGCCGTCATCGCCGTCGTCACAACCCGGCCCCGCCACTCCACGCGCTAGCTTCCAAGGGACGGAGGCAGAGCTTCCCCCCCCTCTGCCGCGTCGCCCTCTCTCCCTCCTCTTTTTCCCCAAAGTGGCAAGGTGGCAAGCCCCCTTTCCCCTCCTCCTTTTCCCCTTTTCTCTCCCGCCGGCGTCATTCCCCCCCTGTCGCCGCTTTGGCCGCGACCGCCGAGCGCTAGCTCCCTGCCTTGACCGCCCTAGGTCGGTTCCCAAACCGACGTTGCCATCCTATAAAGCCCAGGCGCCCTCTCTCCCTTCTCCTCTCATTTTGTCCCATCACCTCCACTCCATTGTCGCCGCCTCCCGTGCTCCGTTCGTCGTCGCGCGTGTCGGAGGAGCCGGCACGAGCGAGGACGCGGAAGGGGACTCCGGGCGCGCCCTCTTCTTCCTCTTCCCCGGCCCGAGGCCGGAGAGATCACTCCCGTGCCGTCGGCCTCTCGTCACAGCGCCCCGCCTCGTCTCGGTAGTACCTCCCTCCGTTCTCCCTCCTCGTTCCATCTCCTCCCCTTAGACTCGGGTAGTAGCACGAGTAGCCTCCCCGTAGCTAGCTAGCGCCACCCCGACCGTTGCAGCCGCTCGCTGTGTGCTCGCCGCCATTGCCGCCCGTGCTCCGTAGCGCCCGCTCGTCGCCGGCCTCGCTCGGCGTAGCTCCGCCCAATCCGACGCTAGCAACGAACTCCCGGAGTCACGTAGATGCTCTGGCTCGCCCGAATCGGTCTCCCGTCGCGCAGTCACCGTTTCCCCCTTCTCCCGCCGCCGGTTGCCGCCGCCGCAATCCGCCGCCGTCGAGCATCCCCCGGCGAATCCGAGCCGTTGTCTCGTCTCCCCTCGTCCCGTGCAACTTCCCGGTGTGCTCGCTTTCGCCTGTATCGCCATGGTTCGCTTCGCCGCTCGCCACCGTCGTCCGCCGTCCATTCCGGCCGACGTCGTCGTCTACCTCCCGCCGGCCCGCGTGGCAGCCACGTAGGCGCCACGTCGGCGCCACCTTGGGCGCGACCGGGTCAAGCTGACCCCGGTCCGCCGCTTTCCCTTCGCCCCACTCGCGTGCGCGGTCCACCGCGAACCGTGAGGCTGCGCGTGGGCCCGCCGCACCGCGTCCTCCGTGAACCGCGCGCATGCGTCGCGCCTCCCTCCCCAAACCCTAGCACGCCCCGCGTGCACCTCGCTCACGGTGAGCCGAGTCGCCGACAAGCGGGTCCCACCCGGGACCACGCGGGATGGACCCGGCCCACCGGCTCTCTCTCTCCTCCCCACCCGCGCGCATGCTTTGGGCCGCCTTCTCGGGCCGGCCGGCCCGTTAAGTTCGGCCGAGCCGCCCGTTTCTCTCGGGCTGCGCCCTAGCCGCCCGAGGAAAGTCTAATTTCCCTCCCTCCTTCTTTTCTTTTCTTTTCTTTTTCAAAAAGGATTTAAATAAATCCTTTTCCTTTAGACCAAAAATCCAATAATCTTAGAAATTCAATATCTTCCCAACCGTAAGTTCGTTTGACTCCGTTCAACTTCCAAAATTCCTCAAATCTCGAGATCTATCTAATGGCATGCTTAGAGGTCAATAATAGGGCTTTATTTTCGCCGTTTGCTGAGTTGTCCCGTTTCGCGTGTAGTTTCGGAGCCCGAAGACCCGCAGTGCGAGGATTTCGAGGATCATGCTCAAGATCTCGAGCAAGGCAAGCCACCTTTGAACATCTTGAGCCTATATTTGAACTTAATTATGTTGCTTGAAAAATATTATGCATTGATAGGATTGCACATAATATGTTTGCCCCGTCTGCGAGGCAGATTAGTGGGCATACCTAACTTGTTACAATTGATCCTTCCGTTGTTAAATTGTTATATCATGTTTCCTTGTAAGCACCTGGTCGCGCCTCGGTATTCTTGCACTCGGTGCGAGTATCGACGGTCGCCGTCAAACTTAAAATATGGTAAACATCTTGGGTAAAACTTGGGTTTTACAAAAGACTTGGAAAACCCGACACCTGGGTCGGTGCTTGCGAACCTAAATGAATTTCCAAAATCGCGGACAGGGGAACGTACCGGGTGTACGGTTTCCCGCTCTTGCACTTAAGGACCGTTTCCTTGAAACTTCATCCGAACATAAGACAAGTACGACCACATGGGTGGAATGGGACACCCCTGGCTGAGTAACTAGCTAATCGGGGAAGCCATGATGCCAAGAGACATGTGGATTCAACGGGGTGGTGTCGGGGAGGACCCCCGGGTTTCCTGGCACAGTATGGTCTGGGACCTAATCTGGTGTTGGTCTGGGACCCCTCTCGTTGGCATATGGTGAACCTGTGTCGGCTTTCGAAATGCCTTGTCATGAAAGCCTTAAGGTCTCTAGTCGTGGCCGTTCTGCACGGGCTGGATGATCCGGGTTAGTAATATCGTGTGGGTAAAGTGTACCCCCTCTGTAGAGGTTATTAAACTGTTCGAACAGCCGTGCCCACGGTCATGGGCGGATGTAAGGTGATTCCTAGCGTAGTTTTGTTTGACTACTGCTTTGTGAAATTTGCTGATGTGGTTTGGGATTGATGTTTGGAAAATCTGCGGCTGATGGGATCAGCCAGGCCCGGGTGGCCGTTTGAAAGCTGTTGGCTGGGTGCCAATCTTGATCAATTCAAAAGACTGATACATTGCACATACTCCGACCGGACGAGACGCACTGTCTCATCCGTGTCGTTTGAGAAGCACTCACTTAGTTGTTTCAGAAAAGGGTTCAAATAAAATCAATTGCAAAAACAACAGCCTTTCCTTGAAGCCTGCATTAAACATTTATTTCCCATGGCTTGCTGAGTACTCCCGTACTCACCCTTGCTCTATATAAATAATCCCCCCAGTTGCTGAAGAAGATGAAGCGGATTCCGCTGACGAGGAGTTCTTCCAGGAGCAAGTCGGCTACGATGAGTTTTAGGGTTTCGGCCTAGTTCCCAAGTCGCGCCTGTGATGTTTGGTCTAAGTCTTGGCTTCCGCTTCCCTTTTGTAATGCAGTTGTGAGCTCAGGATCTGTCCGCAGCCCAACATGACTATACTCCTACTCTATAATAAAGAGACCTCTGTTGCTGTGATATTCTGTCTTCCTGTGATACCAGCACTGTTTCCTGGGACTGGTATCGATTAACAGGTTAATTTGGAGCGTCACGGGCTAGTTCCGCTCGGGACTAGTTCGGGGCGTGACAATATCAAATATTTCTGTATGGTCAAAGAAAGTATAACCGACAATATATGGACTGCATGAAATTACTCTGGCTTAGAAAATACTAAAAACAGCTGATAATTCCAAAACAAATCATATTTTTTAGATAATGGAATATAATATCCCGGCCTTTACTCAAAAGAGTTACAGCCAATTATTACATAGAAGCTTTTAAGAACATAGTGTAAATCTAAATGAATAGAACACACTGTAGAGAAAACACAAAGAAACCAGCCTAACGTAAGGAGATCACAATTATTGAAGTTTATTTGTAAATCTACAACCATAATTAGCAAAAAGTTGCATGACCGTAGTCTCCAACTTTCGACATGTAACTTTCAGAACAAATCATATATTCAAGTTTACTTTGACTACTCGCATCGACTTGTATTCATCGCATATTTCTATCCCCGATAACTTGAATTTGTATTCCAATTGGGGTACTTGTAACTGTATTCACCACCAAAATCAGAGGGGGAGATGTAAGGATGTTTCATTTGTTGGACTTATTACTCAGGACCTAATTTGCTTAGCTTAACACATGATCACCGATTCTAAATGCAAAATTGAGATGATTACTGACCGGATGAATTGAAGCCATAAATTTTACCAATTTCCTTTGATTCTTATGTTTTCCTTCCTTTTGATTCACCTGCACGGGAACGGTTTGCACTATGAACGTCTTCCTGTGCTTTGAGATCAATCGGGCTCTCTTTACTCTTTAGGATTTTGGAATTTTGGCATAGAGAATTATTCATCACTTTTTCTCAACGCCTTCTCTCCTTTTATTTGTACTGGTGAGGCTCAGCGGCAATCCGAATAGAACTCTAAGTTTATTACGGAGTACGGAGTACCATCGATCAAGGTAACATTATAAGTCTTATATCTTATTTTCTTATTTGTTTATTTCTTATTAAGGAAGATAACGATGGAACTTTTATCTCTCCCTAATACTATCTCAGCAATAACCGATAAAATCAGCCGACATCATTGGTGGATATCAGATGGCTAGCCAGTGTCCACCTGTACCCGCCATTTTTGCACCCCATGCATGGTCAAGTACAAGGAGGGAAAGGAACTGATTGATGTTACAATTTTGTCTTAAAATATTTTTTTTGCAAGGAAATGGACCATGGTTATGTGCATATGCAATATTAAATTGGGGATGGCTTGTGGTAAACTTCATAACTCGTAGGGATTACATACACATGGAAGATGCTAATAAATCGACAGTTAACAATAAACATCTAAATAAAATTGACGTTAAGATCTTGCTAAACATTAGTCAAAAAAAGATCTTGCTAAATAATAAAAGAAAACATGGATGTATATTTTTTTTCTCAAAATCAGTCTAAACATGCAGGGCATGAGACTATGATGTGAGGAAGAAAATTGAATGTGAGAATGATTTATCAGTAAACCAAACAAATTAATCCTCATGTATGCAGCGCATTGTTAATGATGTTGCTGTATATATGTGTAGTAGATTATTGCGTATGTCCGATCCAGCTTGTTTAACTCGTGATACACCGCTCGGATGAATGCTATTAAATAGATTCATTGTCATGACAATACAGAGATGGCAACAACATATATATTGCGATTCAATATATTGATAGGACAGTTCGTTGCATCCGCCATCTAGCTAGTAAATGAGGCGCATTAAAATTCGTCGAACTCCAATTTGATCCATTGCCAGATTAGCTCATAACTTTATCTACGTATATCTTAGCATGCATGCAGCTTTTAGCTTGGTATTGGCAAGTACGTGTACAGCTATATATGTACAGTGCTACCTTTGAAGAACGGTTTCTTGACAGAAAAGAACACCTAAAAATCCATGTCCAGACTACAGAACTGAAACTGGAGCTGCGTCTGCGTGGTCGATCGATCGGTCGCGTAGATGTTGTGGTCGGAGTATCCAATTAATTAATTATTCAACCGTTTTCATTATGTGAAAATTCATTTTTTTGCTACCCAGGAATCTAACATTATCTGGGGGTGTCCATCAATGCGACACCAATACTACTCGAGATCAGCTCCATCGCAGAAACAGCATGAGCAATACACACAACATCAGCAGGCGTGCACCAATAAATTTCTGCTCACCAACAGCCAACTAACTTTTGTACAACGCGCACACACATATATAGTGGTATAGCAAAGCACACACTCGACCCCAATTCGCATACATGCACGGACAAGTGAGCCTGATGAGCTAGTGACGCATACCCACAAAGTTCCAGAGACTACATTTATATTTGCACTTAATATCTACATCATAATATATATATTCATACCTCACCATCGCCCATCGGTCACCAGCTAGCTATTGATCACTACATACTGGCTCCTTTTTGAACTCAATTTCCCCTTTTTAATTAAGCCGCCTAATGATCATCTTGTTACGTACGTACACTAACAGTGGCCTTAATTACCACTGTTTGGTTATTGCACTTGTACGACGTCGTAGCTACATAGTGACAATATTAATGTTGTAGATAGCTACGCGTACACATGCGCTCTATAACGACAGCCGTTGCACGGGTCAAGCAGCAGAGACGACGAGCGATCGATCGATCGAACGAGTAATTTGGAAATTGGATCATTAATTAGTCCTTGCAGCAGAGCAGCTGGAGCCCGAGCTTGAGCGGCGCCGGCTCCGGCGGCGGCGGCGGCGGCGAGCTCTGGTTCGCTGTTGGGTGCACGAACTTGCAGTTGGGGCAGGCCGGCCACTCGCGGCACATCATCACCAGCATGTGGCACCGCGCGCAAACGGCGGCGACCATCTCCCTGGACGCGCCGCCGGCCGGCAACTCGAGCGCTAACTTCTCCGCTGCCACCGCTGCCGCTGGCTTCGTCGTCGTCTCCACGGCCGACGACCTGTGCTTCTTGGCCTCCTGGATAGGTACCCGGCGCGGCTCGAACGTGAGGTTGAGCTCCAGGTCCAGGCCTAGCGGCGGCGCGCAATAATTCGCGGCCTCCTCCTCCTCCTCCTCCTCGGCGGGCGCGGCGCGGCGGTGGTGCGACTCCGGCGCCGGCGCCGGCGGCGCCTCCGCCCTCGGGTCCCTGGACGTCCTCTTGTGCGTCCTCGTGTTGTAGTAGTGGATCTGCCCCGACTGCACGACAAGCAAAAAAAAAAAAAAAAGAGTCGTCAGAACACGAACGCGAGAATGATCGATCATTCCTTCTCTATTGAATGAAATTGGGCTCGTCGATTCGTTAAAAAAAAAAGCATGATCGATCATGGATGATCAGCTAGCATATATTTGCATGCGCACCTTGATGTCGAGGCAGCGTTGCCACTCGAGGGGCAGAGGCGCGGCGTCGAAGCAGAGCTCGATCCCGACCTCCCCGCTCTCGCCCTCGCCGACGTCGTCGACGCCGGCCCGCTTCCGCTTCTTGCTGGTGGCGGTGGAGGCGACGGAATCGACGAGCGGGAGGCACGTCGGCCGTGGCGGCCGCCTGCTGGCCTCCGGGAGCAGCAGCGCCGACTGCAAGGACACCATCTCGATCGATCCGCTGATGAGGTGGTAGTAGAAGAGAGAACGTAAGGAGTACTTGGGGTTCGGTCGGGTAGTCGGGCCGTGTGCGACGCAAGAGCTAGTAGTGCAGTGGGGCACTCGATCCGGGAAGTGAGGGGTTTATATAGTGGCGGATGGCCCGGGGGAGGTGGTAGGATCGTCGGAAATTTAAGAGCACGGAAGTGGTAGCCAGGATCTTAAAGTGGACACTGCGACCGGGCCCACCAGATGTTCACACACTTTACTACTGGTCAGATCAGCCTGGTCAGTCCGCAGTCTCACCATTGCATCACTTCTTCTCCGACGGCTGGTCCGGTCGCGTTTGCGTTCGCGACGTACGCGCACGTTATATGTGTACACCGGCTTTAATTTAACCGGGTCACGGTGTGCACAGTAATAATTACGAGTAGCTACAGCGCCGGCCGCGGGTGGCCATTACTCCGGCCAATCACGACCGGCGAGCGAACGAACGATGCGATCACCGATCGGTCGCTCTCGCCGCTCACATGCGAAGCTTAATAACGCGCGCGCGCTGCATGGGGGGGAGGGCTAGCTTAAGCCTTTTGCAGTTACCCATCGTTTTTAACTTCGCCATCATCGTCATTAATCCTGCCATAACATTGAATTGAATCCCCGTCGATCGCATGCATCGATCGATCAACTCAGCTACTACTATACTCCAGCTAGCCGATCGAGCAGGGGTGTGTGTGTGTGTTAATAATCGTGATGCTACAGCCGAAAGCTGGTATTGATTACACAGGCCGGGAGCTAACTGAAAACCCTTCATTTAAAGGGGAGGAGACTCAACTTTCCGTTGAGGCTGTGGATACGACACGACGACCGCATTCATTGCCGGTAAATGGATAGAATCGTGTTGGAGTAGTAGCGAAGCGATCGTGCGATCATCCGCGTCGTCCATCGATCGAGCAGTGTATGTAGCAGCCGAAGATATACATGATCATCCAGATACTAGCTTGCTACTAGCTGCCACCTGAGGCGATCGATTAATTGCCTTCGTCGTCGTGCAGGCGATCGAGCTCTTCTCTGCGCCGGCGGCCGGCCGGCCGGCTTGGCCTCCATCGATATCTCATCTTGCTTTTTAATTAATCCGCTGATATTTTCCCTCCTTGAAAAGCAATCTAAGGTGGTTGAGTAATTAGTAGCCGTACACAGTATTACCAGTAGGAGTAGAAGAAACTATCTAACACTAATAAATCAATCTCATATGAGATGTCACCTATACTAAGTACTAAGTGTGTCATATGTTGTACGATGTTAGTTTATTTTATAACTGAACGAGTAAAGGAGTATATGTAGTTGTTGTAGAATTACTTCAATTAATACTAGACGCCGGGCAGTGAGGGCAGGCTGGGCAGCAGCTAGGATGGATACATGTACTCGTACTCTAGTGATAGCCAGCAGGGGAGTATGATGGAGGCGTAATTCGATCGAAATTAAGTTACTGGCTACTGCACAGATTGACCTAGTACAAGCCAGTTGGGCCGCTTTAAAAGCGGTATCTAATTCTGCTCCTGAGAGAGCAGCAGTAAATGTGCAAACCAGTAGTTGTGTTCATCATAGCAGGAGAGTGCCACTCGATCGATGAGCAGTACGCCCAGCAGCAACAGAATTCAATTGTTCTCCTGACAAACGATCCCCACCACCCGAATACTCGATCCATCCTAGCTTCCATCTCGGCACTGCTTGAATGCGCGCATATATCCTAATCATCATATATCGATCTATTACGGCCAGGCTCCAGGTAAGCACTATTTAATCCCTGACTGTTACATGAGGACACGTGTCATGCAGGGGGGAGGAAGAGAAGGGACAAAGGACGCGAGGAAATAGAATCACATGAGGTCTCATGTAGCGTACTGCCATGTAAAAGTATGTACTTTCAGGGGATTATAAGATTTCAGTCACTTAAAATCCTCAAAGTGTTCCTTTAGGCCCATTTGATTCGGAGGAAAAACATAATTTTTAGAGAATTTTAATCCTATAAAAAAATTTCCTAAGAAGCCCTTTGAAATAAAGGATTGAATCCTATCCAATCCTTTGAAATTTCTATGGAATGGACAATCCTATACATATTTTGGAGGAAATTTAGCAAGAGCTTCAACCTCTTGTTAACTTTCTTTTGAGTATATGTCTCTCATCCAATTACTGTGTTTTTCCTACGGTTCAATCAAATGGTCATTCCTGTGTTTTTCATGCGTTTTTGCAATTCTCTGTTTTACACTTACATTCCTATCAAAATCCTACGTTTTTTCTATTCATATGTTTTCTCCATCCTGCGATTCAAAGGGGCCCTAAATAGTAGACATGGAAAAAAAACAGAGGAACAGAAAAACGCAAGATTCTTATAGGAATGCAAATAGAAAATAGAGGATTGCAAAACAAATGAATAGCCGTTTGATTGGATTACAGGAAAAACAAAGGAATTGGATGAGAGAAATAGACTCAAAAGAAAATTTTAAGAGGTCGGAGCTCTTGCTAAATTTTCTCCAAAAACTATGTAGGGTTGTTCATTTCATAGGAATTTCAAAATATAGGATATGATTCAATCATATTTTAAAAGGTAATAAATCCCGGGAAATACCTGCCCCGTTTTCTGAACAAATTCGGGTACCCGGGACTTTTCATGGATATCGGGTCTTTTTTAGCGGATATGAGATCGGGTTCGGGAATGTAGTATCCGACGGATACGGATTATCCGGTAAAAAATTCATGTATTACCCGAATAATTATACGGATATTACCCGTATTATGTTTTTGTGAGACACTTTTTGGTACCATGTATTAGTTATACTATGATGTATTGTACCCTATATTTATTTCCTAAGTTCCTAATGATCTAATATAATCGTATTATGGATATATATTATGGATATATGGAATTGTTAAATGGTTATTGTCTATGTGATATATAAGATTGTTGCTTTGACTTGATATCTGAATAAATATTCGTAACTGATAGTGTACGTATCCATTTTGGTACGTATTCGTTCTGTATTCTTGCCCGACATTATTTGAGTCTGTATCCATATTAGACACTATCCATGTCCGATCCGATTCCGATTATAAAATGTGGGTTAGGATATGGGAAGGGTGAGATCTGACCGAACCTGACCCGTTTTCACCCCTAGCTAGGTAGACGATAAACTAGAGGTGGACAAATGACATCGGCGAGCGAGGATGCCGGAGTTGCGGGGTTGGAGTAGATCGGTGGATGGGGTTTGCCATGGGGGCATGTAATCTGGAGTGGTCAACCAAAGACATGAACAAAAGTCAGTGTGGTAGTGAAAACGGTCGTAGAAATTCCCGATCGTCTGAGTGTCGTTTTATATAAGGGGTACTGTTTTTAACTGTATGATTTTTGGCTATTTATATATATTTCTTTCTAATTTCATTCTGCATCGTATTAATGTCGATACTGAGCATTTTAAATAATAAATATGGTCAATTATCAACCGATCGAGCGTCGTTTTTTGAAGAGATGCTACAGATTCCGACCGTTTTTACCCCTGTGTGGATACACTTCACTACTGCACAGAGGAAGGAGCGAGGGTAGGGAGGCGATGACATAAGATGGCGATGTGAGCTTGACACGTCCCATGAGAAGAAGGGGATAGAAGATAAGGCTACTGTGCTCAACAATTTTTTGTGCGATATGAGTCGTTTAGAAGTGACTTAAATTTGTGTATTTTTCATTTACGATTTAAAATCTAACTACCTATATTTTGTAGCTAACATATTTAAGAAACATAAGATACACTTGATAGTACCGTCACAAGAGATGTGTGGTTTCAATCCCGAGGTCTCGTGTTCAATCTCTAACACGCTTACAAAATGATTTCAAATCTCGTATTTGGAGAAACAGATACTCTGGCCTCGGAAGAGTCGGCGGGAGGCACGCCGGGCGGGTGGCTGGAGCTGGAGCCGAAGACATGACGGAGGCGCGCGCGTACACGCAGATATACACAGCTGAGTCCCGGATTGAATGCGAGAGTTGCTTCTCATAACTCCGACTTCCAAATTTGGGTCGCGAGGAGAGGCTCCAATTTAAAGCGGCCCAACACCCCCGCTTTTAACCATGAAATTTAAACACAACGACACACAACATAGCGTGGAATAAATTTTCGCCAACCTCCCTCGTTCCGGCTCTTAAAACCCGGGTGCAATTACCGCCCTGCCCCCTGCTGTGCTGAATGCTGCTGATCTCCCCCCCATCCATCCATCTATCTGCCCTGCCTCGCCCATGAAACTAGCTGCGTCTGCGTGGCCTTTATGGCCCCCTGTTTGATTGCTATGATGGCTGACCGGCCGGTGCAAATGCATTTGCTCCTCTCCTCCCTCTCGATCGATCGATCGATCGCATGGTTTTCCAGCCATAGCAGATGCTACGTGCTGTTGTTGTGTGTTCTAGCTACTTGCTACACACCCTACTAGCTCTAGCTAAAAGAAAAGAGTAAATTTTACCTTTGCTACTTTTTATTACCGACATTTTAGTTTGGATCATCTTTTAATTGACGTTTTTGCTTTTGATTGGGTAAACTTGCATTTGTTTTACTTTGGACTACCTTGAACCACCCAAACTCTCTTCTCAAACTATAAATATAAATGATCTTAAGTACGTCGGCTCATACTCGTTAATGAACTTTCACAGCTATATTAGAATTTTTTTAACATATGATAAGTTGAATGTAGATGGATAAAATTGTTGAGAATGGTCTAAAGTAACATAGGGATAAAAATATTCGATCCAAAGTCAAAGTAAAAGTATTAGTTAAAAGGTGATCCAAACAGAAACATTGATAAGCAAAGGTGACCAAAGTGAGATTTACCGAAAAGAAACAATCTCCGAACAATCAATTCAATCTGTACTGCCGATACTAGTACACTCTACTTGGTGCAACATGCAATTATGCAATCAATTAGTTGTAATGATGAGATAGATGTAGTAATTAGTAGTACCTGTGTTTTGCTTTTAACAGTACGTTCAGGGTTCACCTAATTGTCCCTGAAATAGCTCGTAAAAGAGATCTGCCCGTAGTTTCTGTATTTGTTTCCAATCGCGCTCTTCCCCTCTCCTCGTTGTAAATCTGAACA